CTTAAATCAATTAATATTATACAAATGAACACAGGCGATTCAGAAGAAGAGTATTGGAGTAATAAATGAGTCACAGTAATGTAACCTGTTCTGTAATTGCAATAACTGGAGTTTGATGCCTCAGATTTACATCTGAAACAAATTGCAAAATCTCAGTGTACAGTAATCCCTCACCAACCACAGGTTAACTAAACTTAGGATTAGAGTACCCACATTTTATATTTTGTACACTCGCCACAAAAAGTTCTCGAACACCCTAAGGGTCATACAATATGACAAAACCAGAAATCTGAACATTCCTCTCTGAGGAAGTTTTAGTGCAAATTAAATTACTTTTTCCTCTTATACATTCTAAAATCTGTCATGCCCAGCTATTCGAGAACTTTTTGTGGCGAGCGTACACCATTTTACTAACTATGGTACAGTATCCAGTTCTAGAGCTGTGGGAATGTTTGCTGGTTCAGGTCTATTAAGTGGTTCATCTTGTTCACTTAATTGTGCATTTTCCTTAATTGATAATTAATCTATCATCATCTATCCTGCCGACATCCTCACCCTCCTTGGCTCTTTAAATATATAAAGTATATATTTTTTCATCCTTCTTATTAGATGCTGTGGCATCAGGTATATTCATTGTGGTCCAGGTGTAGCCACCATGATCACTCATTCACTACTGCTCGAAAGTGTTAAAAAATTTATTGGTAAAATATGTTCTAAATATTTAGGAAATGCTTTTCTTTTTTTTTCTTTTTTTTTATTAAACTGAAGGAAAATAATTACTCTAGACTGCATTATACTTTTTTTGTAAAAAGAATACTTTATTTATTTGAAAAAACCAAATGGTAATATTTTGTTTAAAAGATTTTTTTTTTCTATGCCATTAAATATATTAATTAAAACATAAGCATAAATAAAAGTACTGTATGTGAATAAATCAGTCTAATACAGTACTAGAAGAAGAAAAAAATGTGCTACATCCACGAGTGTGCGTGCTTTGGGATAACCTAGATGTGTCGGCGCCAGACAAACCTACAGTACAGTACTCTGATAGGCCCAGCTTTTACATGTATGATCTTTGCTCTTATAATCATTATCTCATTTAAGTGAGAAAGCATAGTGCCATAGGACAAAAAAAAAAAAAAAAATATATATATATATATATATATATATATATATATATATATATATATATATATATATATATATATATATATATATATATATATATATATATATATATATATATATATATATATATATATATATATATATATATATATATATATATATATATATATATATATATATATATATATATATATATATACACTAGAACTCTTAAATCACTACTGTAATGTGATACATGTGATTAATTTTTATCTCTTTTGCAAAATATATGACGTTTATATTCAAATTATTCACTGTCTTGCAAGGATTCCAGCCATGCAAATTATATTCTCCTAACTTTAGTCTGTGATATTATATAAGATAAAAACTTAAAGCCTACTGTATAACCACCAAACCCTGGCTGGGAGGGGGGGGGGGGGGGGGGATGTGTTTGAGAGCTGGTGCTGAAGGTCTGAGTGAAATCAGGTATGTATATATATATATATATATATATATATATATATATATATATATATATATATAACAATATGTATGTATGTGTATGTATATATATATATATATATATATATATATATATATATATATATATATATATATATATATATATATATATACATATATATATATATATATATAACAATATATATATAATATACATATATATATATATACTACATATATATTATATATATATATACATAATATATATATATATATATATATATATATATATATATATATAAATATATATATATACATAATATATATATATATATAATATATATATATATATATATATATATATATATATACATAATATATCATAATATATATAAATATATATATATATATATATATATATATATATATATATATATATATATATACTTACAGTAGAGTCCATTTAACACGCTTGGACTTTGAACATAGTAATCAAGCGACCTCACCAGCAGGTCAGACCCCAGCCACTGGGTGACAGGCCGGCTTGCATAATGGATATATATATATATATATATATATATATATATATATATATATATATATATATATATATATATATATATATATATATATATATATATATATATATATATATATATATATATATATATATATATATATATATATATATATATATATATATATATATATATATATATATATATATATATATATATATATATATATATATATATATATATATATTTCTCACTGTCTCAGCGTATATTCACTCGTGCCCAGGAACCGGTTTTGTTTTTTCTTTCTACGCAATGGCTACCGCTGGACCCCCACCACCCCTGAAAAACCCTGAACTACCTGGCCCAAGCTGCCCCAAGCCCAAGAAGGTGCGACACGCCTTAAGCTATGAGGTTAAGTACAAGATCGTTCAGGAGTTAGAAAAAGGCACGAGGCAGGTGGATTTGGCCAAACAATATGGAGTGAATGAATCGACGATCCGCATGATCAAGAAGGATGCTGGCATAATGAATGAACACATGAACATTACCAAGTCTGTAGGTGCCTCGCTGGTGAAATATTGCCACAATAAGGTGCTGCTGAAGACCGAGAGTTGTTTGGTAAGCTACATTATTCGTCAATCAAGAAGGAACATGGCGGTCGACACTCGGGCAGTGCAGGACTACGCTCAAGAACTCTACAAAGCAGTGGCAAGAAAAAATGGGAGTTGCAGAGCCCAAGCCCTTCAGTGCTTCCGCTGGGTGGCTGCAAGGTTTTAAATGACACAACAAGATCACGAATATTGAGATAGTCGGAGAAGGAGCAAGTGCCGACTGGGCTGCCGCCATGAATTTTCCCCCATTTTTACGGAAAATTATGGAGGAAGGACAGTAACACCGACGACCAAGTGTCCAATGTGGATGAATCAGGGTTGTACTGGAAGAAATTGCCATCCAAGTCCTTCGTAGTCAAGTCTGCGAGCATGTGTCGGGGGCGCAAAATGCAGAAGGAGCACATCACCGTACTGTTCACCACCAATGCCTCCGGCACTGCTAAGCTGAAGTTGTCTGTGATCCACAAGGCCCGCAAGCTGCATGCCTACAAGAATATGGACATGAGCAAGTTAAATGTCCACTGGCTAACCTTAGGGAAGACGTGAATGTTCTCTGGTCTGTCCCTCTCCTGGTTTGACAACTGTCTCGTTCCTGATATCAAGAAATTTTGCGTGGAAAATAATGTGCCACTCAACATTTTGTTGCTCCTCGACAATGCGCCAGGGCACTCGCCCCTTTTGCTGGATCGTCACCCCAACGTAAAAGTAGCCTTCCTTCCCTTTAACACTACGTCGTTAATCCAGCCCATGGATCAGGAGTTGATTTGCAACGTGAAGGCTGCTTTCTCCGCCAAGAAGTTTCGGCTCCCGAACGACTTCACAAATACCAAGGATGAACTACAGAACCTAGAGAGTGGCACCGATAGCGAGAGCGAGGATGAGGAACACGAACAAGATTTGGCGGACCATGAAGTGCGGGTCAAGCAGTTCTGGAAGCTGTTTAACGTGAAGAAGGCTGTAGATTTCTTGGTGGAGGCATGGGGGCAGCTATCTGTGGCAACGATTCGGCACGCGTGGCGTCATGTGTTGGAGGGTATCCCAGGTGGGAGGCAGAGGCAAGCGGTGGCTGGCGAGACTCAGTCTGTTGCTGTGGCATTGGAGAACGCAAGAGAGGCTGCACAAAGTGTTAGAGCTGCAGGCTTCTCCAAGACCACCAACGAGGACATCCTGGAGGTAATCAGGCAACCTGAGGTGACTGCGGATGAAATGTTGGAAGATGATGACGTCAGTGAGCAGCCAGGTGTTGTGAGCAGCCAGGTGTTACAGAAGAACAAGAGCAGAAACTAACACATGCTAATGTGAAGGAAATCATCGAGGTAGATGAGAGATTGAAGCTCCTCCTTGCCAAAGACCCAGTCAATCATCGCTATGAAGTGTCTAATAATCTTCTGGTGCAATCCCGGGAGCCCTATGTTCAGCAGAATCACGACCACATCAATGCTAGCCGTCAACAAAACATCACCGAGTTCTTCACCCACCACAGCCAGCCCAAGTCAGTGATAGTGAGGATATGGACTTTGAGGGGTTTGACAAGGAGGCCCTGCTAGCCTCTGTGGTGGATAGAGATACAAGTGAGGGCCAATAATCTGCCCTCTGCCTCGGAACCAACCCCCCATCCCCGTGTGCCCAGCCATCTCTTCTACTAACATAAGTGTTAAAAAACCTAATATTTTTGATATTTCTCTTATTTATTAATTGTGTGTGCATACCATCATAAAGTTAAGGTGTTATTTTTACTACAACGTACGTATTGTGTCGGCGATAGCCAAAAGAAGGGTAGTCTGGTGGTCGGCCCAGTCTCTATTTCAATTAATCCCATGTTCTGTTATTTTATTTACGAGTTTCGCTTTATACGCGGACCTCCATGAGTTTAATTAACTGCATAAACCTAGACAATATATATATATATATATATATATATATATATATATATATATATATATATATATATATATATATATATATATATATATATATATATATATATATATATATATATATATATATATATATATATATATATATATATATATATATATATATATATATATATATATATATATATATATATATATATATATATATATATATATATATATATATATATACACACAATATATTTTTTATTTATTTTTTCTTCCAACTCTATAAACCACTTAAAAGAGTTCAGCAAAATATCCACAGTAAATGGTTAAGATAATGCAATATCAACTGAATACAGTACAGTACATCAATTCCTAAATGTCTATGAAATTATGGAGAGTACTAAAAAGTGTGGATGGTACAAGATGGTTAGGAGAAGTAGAGCTTAATCCTTTATTGGCATAAACTCTGGAAAAGAAACTTTCCAAAACATAAAATTTACATTTTAAACTTCAGAAATAAATCTGTTAAGAAATCAAAATCAACTTCTTTGTGTAATGAATAAATAAAATTAACATTTTATCTCCTACCAAGTACCTTCACTGCACAAAGTACAATACTGGGAAACAAAATCCTCCACAGAAGATTTAATAAGAAACCTGGTTGCTCAGATGTGGTACATCTAGTAGGACTCATAAAATATTTCAGCTACACATCTTTTCATCAAATATATAAATATTTTGAAATGGAAATTTCAATAGTACAGAAATACTTATGTAGGGAATTATTATGTTAAGCATAATAAGATGGGGAGAGCAGCAGGTCTGTCAGCACCACCAGCTGGTCCTCAGTAAACTTTTGCTTGTGGTCTCGCCAGTTGTCATGATGTGTTCGTCGGAAATTACTAAGCGTCTTTTTGATAGTAGCCTGTAAAAAAGATAAATGGACATAGAAATAAAAAGCATAAACATAGAATAGCCTTGCATAAGAAAAATTATATAATTAATGCATACATTTAGTGGAAGCACTGGACAACCAAGTACAGTATAGTTAAAACTTCTGTACAGTACTGTATTATGAAAATACAGGGACAGTACTGTACTATAAATGGAATTCCTCATTTTTTTATAAAGTAAATATAAATCCACATATTCCAAGATACAATATGTGTAAGTTAAAGAATGAATGGAGTAAAAATTAGTTATTATAAATAAACAAAAATAATAATTTAAGGCATTTAAGTTATTAGATGTCACAAAGATTCCCATGACAATATGTTTTGATGCCAGTTAGTTTTATTTAGTCCTGGGAGTACAGTATTTCATGGAACCAATTAAATATTTGAAAGGAAAAGCTTTATAATTAAAGCTTCCATTCTTAAAATAAAACACTGTAATCTACAACCTTACAATCCACCTTATGTTTACTAACTCAGCTTCCTTCCTCCACAAAATATTATTTACTGTACAAAGGGGGGGATAATATGGAGTGGAAAGCAAAGGGAGATAATGGACAGGTATGTGAAGGATTACAAAAGGTCACAGCTTCATCACCATTGTTTTACAGCCATTTTCCATGCCTGTGTGTGTTAGTTGCAATTACCTGGTGGTAGGTGTTGGGTAAAACTAGAACAGGATTACCTCCCTGATTACCATCACAAACCCAAGGTGTCAGCCCAGAAAATGCAACAGAGCCCAGGGATTGGTACACCTATGGTGATCCAGTTGCCATCAGGCATGTTGAAGTAAAGTTTAATGGCTGGATGCCCTTCATAATGACAAACCACAGGCTGAAAACTGATGGCAAGGCAGAGTTGGAACTGTACAGCCTACAGCCTAATGTAATTTATTTAAAATGTAAGTACAGTATAGTCTGCATTTACGCGGATTTTGTTTACGCGTTTGGTCATTTACGCGGCGAGCGGCTGGAGAGGTCCAGACCACCACGCCATTTTTTACCTACGCTGTCCATCTTGACCATACGCGGGAAGCGGCGTGGCGAGTGGTGCGCATTAGGCCGCTCTTACATTATCGCTGACATCATATTACGTATCGGATTGTGATTGGGCCACGCATCCTTACCACCAACGCGTTCCCTCCGCTGCTAGCTGTGATTGGTCTAATGTAGCATGACGTGCCCTGCCACCAGAGGGTAGAAGTCGTTGACCTAGCCGGGCCAGTCTCATTGTTCTCAGTCCGCGTATACAGTTCTCTCTTGTGCCCGCTATTCCCCTCACAATTGCTTCCGCGGGACCCCCACCACCAGAGAAAAACATTGAATTACCTGGACCAAGCTATAATAATGTGAAGGAAATCATCGAGTTGGGGGAGAAACTTAAGCTCATCCTTGACAACGACCCAGACAAGCATTGGTATGAAGCGTCTAATAACCATCTGACGAAAGTTATGGAGCCGTATATCCAGATCTATCTCGACAACATCAATGCTAGTCGTCAATGTAGTATTGAGGACTTCCTCGCCCGCAACCCACCACAACCACAGCCAGCCCAAGTCAGTGATAGTGATATTGTCAGTGAGGATATGGACTTTGAGAGGTTTGTCTGGGAGGCCCTGCAAACCTCTGCGAGTAGTGAAAGTAATTCACCGGAGGGCAACTAATCTGCCCTCTGCCTTGGAACCAGCCGCCATCAACGTGTGCCGACCCAGCTTTTCTACTGTGGTAAGTGTTAAAAACCTAATATTATTGATATTTCTCTTAATTATTAATTGTGTGTGCATACCATCATAAAATTAAGATGTTTTTTACTACAAGGTACGTATTGTGTCGGAAAAAGTGGAGTTTGGGGGTCGGCCCAGTCTCTATTTCAATTAACCCATATGTTCTATTATTTCATTTACGCGTTTCTTGTTTTACGCAGGCCTCCATGGGTTCAATTGACCGCGTAAATGCAGACTATACTGTATTGGTACTAGTTGTGACTTACAGGTACAGGATGTGGATCATTGAGATGTTCACTAAGTGTGACTAAGACTTCAGGAAGCATGTCTGGTACATCATATGGGAAGGCACTGACATAAGCACACAATCCCAAAACTCCTGCATGGAGCTCTAATACTTCTTGGGGTTTTAATGGCTCCTTTCGCCTTCTCTTCTGTTCACGGCCATTCTGAAGCTTGGATGTGAACTCGCCCTTAAAGAAGAAAAGGAAAAATTGGTTCTGTAATTTTCAACAACATTAAGGATCTGATGAAAAATATACAATACAGGCAATGGAAAACAAATAATGTAACCACTAAGGAAATGGATAAGAGCCAGTGAGAGAGGAAAACGAAATGGAAGTTTTGAGTGAGCATCCTCCTCTAGTCTTTTTGTAGTTTGTTAAAATAACTTCCAAATTCTCCTCTTAATTATTTATATAAACACTACTGTTTAATTTCTTTAATTAATGTTTTGTATATTTTTTTCACTGGCATATGCATATGGGAAAAACCCATCCTATTCATTTTTTTTCTCAAGCAATTGGCACCTGCTTCACTTACAAGACAAGTCACTCTTGCACAAAGAATACTTCAACAAATGTTTCAAGTCTTCCTGCAAGCATTTTTTATACATGAAGGTGGCTCAAGATTCTTTATGTTGCCAACCACCCAAGGAAGGGCACTTTTCTAGAAGGAAAATGTAAAAAATACTAACAATTACTGTAGTACAGGTACACCACTGATTTTCCGGCACCTTTGGTTCCAAAGCCTTGTCGGATTATCCGTTTTGCTGGACCAACCAAGGTCAGGTAATAATAATTCAACAATACACCTCTGACCCACTAATTATACACCTCCCGTGTCTGTAAAGCACCATGGACTGCTAGAAACTTAAATTATACAAATATTAAATGTAAATTAAATGTGAAAAAGCCATAATTTTGAGCAACATATTACTGTACACACATTGTACTCAATGTACTACACTAAGGGACAAAACTATTTTCTCTTGCACAAACTATGTGAAGTTTATACTCAAACTACTGTAATCACTATCTTACAAGGATTCCAGCAATGCAAGTTTTATTCTAGTAAGTCCAGTCAGTGACATTTTATAAGATAAAAACATTAAGCTCAAAACTACCTTCACCCAGACTGGGAGGGAGGGAAGTTAAGTGCCCCCTCGTAATTTTGTTTGGACTAAAGGAGGTGCCGGACCATCAGTTCCTGGAAAATCGATGGTGTACCTGTACTGTAAAACTAAACTTAATTTGAGTTTTAAGATAGCTAATTCACTAAATGCCAGAGAAATAAAGAGGATGGGAAAAAATGCTTATTAATACTTACAATTTTAGCATTAAGGGAGTACAGTGGTCCCTCCATTAACGAGCACAATTGGTTCGACAGTCACTCGTTAACTGAATTTATTATTTCAATGGGATATTGGGTAATTGGTTCCAACGCACAGATTTCCCTTTAAATTAATTAAAAATTACATACAAAGTACTGTATACCGGTAATATAATTAACAAAACCTTAAATATAAACAAAATACAGTACTGTAAAAAAATATTTTAACACTTACAATTTATTGAACTAATTCCAGATTTTTTTATTTAAACCAACACTGCACTGTACTGTACATTATCAATATGTTAACTAAATTTCAGAATGACCAATAATTTTAACCTTAAGCCCCTGGTTAGGGTGCTGCTGGCAGTACACCCCAGCAGGGATAAATCGAGAGAAAAAAAAATAAAATAAATAAATAAAAAAGGGGGAATAGGCGGACGTTCTGGAACGTCACCCAGAGCCTAAAGGTTAATGTAAATAGACAAAAATATTCAAGAGCACAACTTTCTCGATGTTTACTCAACTGGAAACAAAGGGAAAAATAGAACTGATTATTGGCGGACGAGTCGATCAGCTGATGCACTCACCAAAACGTGTTTCTCGTAAAGCCGTCGTTAATAGAATTTGTACTCGATAATTGAACTGAAAGTCCTTATGGGAGGTAACTCGTCAACTGAAATCTCGTAGATTGATCTGCTCGTTAATGGAGGGACCATTGTACTTCTAAAATATTTTCAAAATTATTTAGAAATTTAATAAATTCACAATATCCAATTTATGCTATGAAGAGAGAACAAATGAGATAAGCCTCAGGGTATATGGGAAATCATTAAGGATGCTTAGGCATTCACAGTGTGGTTAAAATAAAACAGTGCCATTAAAATGGATCAAATAAATAAGGAGATGATCAGAGATGTAAACATGGACATGCTGTATAAAATAGGTATACTGTACTGTATATACAGTATAGTAAAACATTTTTAACACCATGAGTTAAAAAACTGCAGAAAACAGAACAAACACTAAATTATAAATTTATTTCACTCTCAATTTTCTTTGATTATCACCAGTTTTCACTGGTGAAATCCCTTTCACTCTATGACAGGGTGGTTTTCATTTATTTTTTATAGCTATCTAACAGGATATACCCAGAAAAGTTGATCTTTTAGCTTTAGCCTGGTTCTTCTTTTGTCCTATCTCACCAATCCATTTTCTTTCAAATCTAATCTGTGATCTATTCAGTTCTAGCCTAGTAACTGTTTAGTTGTGAAAGTTTTCCCATTCTCTATATAATTCCTTTAAATTCATTCCATTGTTGTTCTATTTCTTGATCTACAAGTAGTTCTTCTAATACTAAAAATCTCTTCTGAGATTCATATTCTACCTGTTTCTTTTTTCAGCTTCTCTAAATCTAATTTGATATCATCCAACATTTTTCTTTTTAATTTTTGGAGTTTTAGCTTCACTAAACACATTACAGGGACATGGTCTGACTTACAGTCTGCCCCTAGGTAGATCTTAGTCTGAGTTAGAGTTCTTAAATTTTCTTGACAAAGTGTAATCTATTTGATCACTGAAAACATTCTTTTCATTATCCTGGGGTGTTATTAATTTGCATTACGGTAGTCAAGTCGTTAACATGCATCATGATAATGATTCCATGATAATGTGACACCCTTCAATATGAGTTAACTGGAGTCCAATACACAATAATGCAAGCCAAGCAGGGTGGTGATGAGTTGTAGGAAAATTTCCTAGGTAGTGCTTTTAGGATTATTGTTTTATGTTCAAGGCCTTTAATTGTTCACACACATTAACTTATCAAATAGTAATCACACTAACAAGAACCACCCCCAAAAAAAAAAATAAATAAACAAATAAATAAATCAATAAAAATACATCCAATTAAACAACACATTTGCTACATTTTCTTATGTCTTTAAATTATAACAGAACACAACACAAATTATTTCCTTTGTGAATAGTTTACAGAAACATTAAAAATTCTCATGGGTGCATGGCTCAATATAACCTTTAACTACAGTGGTCCCTCGGTTTACGAATGGTTCGTTTAACGAAATTTCGGTTAACGAATTACCTTCCATAAGAATCTTCAAATCGGTTAACGAAAAAAAATTTGATTAACGAAATCCTTACGAGAAACACGCTTTGTTGTGAGCATCAGCTGATCAGCTAGTCCGCCAATACAGTAATTGGTTCTATGTTTACATTCGTTTCCAGTGGAGTAAATATCAAGAAAGTTGTGCTCTTTAATATTTTTGCATTTTTTATATTAAAATTATCAGTCATTTTAACATTTATTTAACATATTGATAATATATGCAGTACAGGAAACTATTTTTTTGTGCGCCCATGAGATGCGTGAGTCGGCCACAAGGAGTCAGTTGAGCTTTGAAAACAGTTGAGTGAACTGCTTTTTTGTTGGTGTCTTGAATATTTTTGTATTTTTCATTGAAATTATTGGTCATTCTGAACTTTAGTTAACATATTGGTAATAGATGGTGCAGTGTAGTGTTGATTTAAAGAAAATTATCTTGAATTACACCAAGTGAACTTAAAATTTTATTGGTGAAATGACTGCATCAAGCATGGGTCCACTGAAAGGTGATTTCTCCTCCATCCCCACTTCCTTCTCTTCTCCCTTCTCCTCCACCCCCACTTCTAATTTCCATCACCATCATCAACCAGGAACCTTCTACATACACACCTCAAAGTAAGTGTACTTTACTGCATTTTTTTTAACTTTGTAAGTACTTTTCTGTGAGCTGGAACCAATTACCCAATATCCCATTGAAAAAATGGATTCGGTTAACGAACGACCTTCTGGAACGAATTGTGTTCGTTAACCGAGGGACCACTGTATTACATGATTAAATCACTAACTTTATACAAAGTTAATATCTGTTTTACAAGATCAGATCACTTACTTTATTAATTTTTTCAGATCTTTAAGAGGTAGCCAATTAGATGGCGGAGACCAAGAATGACATGGAAAAGATGGGGTGAAGGACATACTAAAAGGAAAGGGAAGCAGCAGTAAATGAAGAGTAGGGCATCAATTGATTTGTGGAGATGTCATTGCAGTTATAAGAGAATAGGTGAATGGGGAGACTGCTTTCTCTTGATTCCTTTTTCCCAGTAGCTTAGCAAGAAAGGGTTTGCAATATTGGAAAAATGTATGGTTTCTTACCAGGAGTTTATCTTCTGCCTGGATGAATTTACAATGTATAAGTCCACTGAGCACAGTCGAGGCCATCTGTTGTACCTCAAGCCTCACATCTGATAAGAGACCCACCACCAACTCCTGCACTTGCTGTGGAGCTTTTTCATCATTCAGGATAGTAAACATGTTGGTAAACACAGCCACCTGTAGTAGTGACAATACTGCAGCACGGGCACGCCACCAACTGTTGATAAAATGACATCAAAATTTACATTAGAAATGATGTGGTAAAACTAAACTACAAGTTCAATGCAGCAGCAGCAGCCCCTAACCCATGGTTTGAGGGCAATATTCAGGAGGACTACAGTTACTGTAAACCCTAATTTATGAAAGGGATCTGTTCCTGAAAACCTTTCATTTTGGTATACCCTGTAATAGTGACTGGTGTATTGCGAATAGCAAACAATGTCTTTTAAATATGAAAAAGACCCAGGGTCTATAAAGATGTTGCAAAAAGTGTTACTTTCCCTTTGTCAAACATTAGTTAAACAAAAAAAGGGGGGGGGGGGATCATAACACATGTTCAGAGATAAAAAAAATAAAAATTAAATGAAAAAGTGTACATGTGCCCATATACCTAACTGTCACTTATTTAACTATGTACTATTTTCCATTAATTAAAATGAAGTTGCATCATTAAACCGACAAATTTTACATGATAATAATGCAGTACAGGGTATTACGTATAATGTAAAATTTGTAAATTTAATGATGCAATTTAATTTTAATTAATGGAAAATAGTACATAATTAAATAAGTGACAGTTACGGTAGGTACATGGGCACAACTACACTTTTTCATTTTTTATAGTAACTACCTATGAAGTATTAAAGATTTTCCTTTTACATTCATTCCTGATTTTGATTATAGTAATATCTCTGTTAGTCGGAACAATTGTTGCAGAGCTTTTCTGGGTTTGAGCGATTTCCAGGTACAATATAGTGTATTGAAATGAATTCCCTTATCCCTGGAAAAAATTGCACATCTACAGAATTTTTCCAGGCACTGGTGAATGTTTCCGCATCTAAACTACACATCTGGCAGAGCACCATTGCTACAGAGGCTTAACTGCAGTCAGACAACAGACAGTACAGTATATATTTGTGCAAACACTACTGTATATGTACAATGTGTTGTAAATAAACAAAATATATTACTGTATATTAGGGTTGCCATATCTGAACATTAAAAAAAGATGACGCTCCCAAAGACATGCCCCCCCCCCCCAACCCCACCCGCCCAGCACACACTTTGGCACTATGTAACCTTGAAGCAGCAGTGACAATTAATTTTGCATAGCATTAATATATACAGTGAACCCTCACTTTATGCGGTCAATTGAACCCACGAGGCTCGTGTAAAGTGAGAAACGCGTAAAGTGAACAACATAACATATGGGATTAATTGAAATAGAGACCGGGCCGACCCCCAAACTCCACTTTTTCCAACACAATACCTATGTTCTAGTAAAAATGGTGGGGGGTGGGAGGGAGGGACCGGTGACCAACCACCTGGCACGGTGTGAAGAATATATTTTTTTTATTAACTGAAGATATTTGTTTTAGCTCATAAAATTCATACAAATTACCCGGCCAGAATATAATTTACATTGCTGGAATTCTTACAATTTGATGATCATTTTGAATATAAACATCATATATTTTGCATTAGACATACAAATTTTAGATATAATGTTTACTCTGAGTAAATATGTTATCTTTTGTGCAAAATATATGACATTTATATTCAAAATATTCCTGGTTTTACAAGGAATCCAGCAATGTCAATTATATTATCCTAACTTTAATCTGAGGTATTATTTAATACTAAATGTTAAAATCTAGTTTTTTCACCCAACCTTTCTCTTGAAGGGAGGGTTGGTGGGGGGAGGGTTGGGACGGACCGACCATCTGGCGCTTGGAAGAGGGGGGAGGCAAGGTGGGGTACTTTGATTGACAGATAGTGTCGTGAAGAATATTTTTTTTTATTAACTGAAGATATTTGTTTTAGCTCATAAAATTCATACAAATTACCCAGCCAGAATATAATTTACATTGCTGGAATTCTTACAATTTGATGATCATTTTGAATATAAACATCATAGATTTTGCATTAGACATACAAATTTTAGATATAATGTTTACTCTGAGTAAATATGTTATCTTTTGTGCAAAATATATGACATTTATATTCAAAATATTCCTGGTCTTACAAGGAATCCAGCAATGTCAATTATATTATCCTAACTTTAGTTTGAGGTATTATTTATTACTATACCTGGTTTTCCCCCCAAAATTTCTCAGAGAGGGAAGAGCCAGCGAGTGTAGTGTGAGAAGAGGGGGAGGGAGTTGAGTCCATTATTTGAATGGACATTAACTTAGCGACTGTATTTCTCTATTTCTCTTAAGTATTAATTGTGTGCATGTACCATCATAAAATTAAGATGTTATTTTTACTAGAACATAGGTATTGTGTTGGAAAAAGTGGAGTTTGGGGGTCAGCTGGTCTCTATTTCAATTAATCCCATATTTTATGTTATTCACTTTACGCGTTTCTCACTTTCCGCGGTACCCTGTGGGTTACATTAACCGCGTAAAGTGAGGGTTGACTGTACATATCCTGACTACTTGGGTTAGTTATACCAGTACAGACTTTTTCCTGTGAAAAAGCCATAATTTTGAGTAACATACTTTGTACTCAAATGTACTACACTAAAATAATTTTTTTTATCTCTTATGAAAACTATAATGTCACCATTCAAATTATTCACTATCTTCCAAGGATTTCAGCAATGCAAGTTATATTTTGCTAAGTTTAGTCTGTGACATTTTATAAGATACAAACTTTAAGCCTAAACTACCTTCACCCTGTTTTGGGAATGCTTCTTAGGGAGGCTTCTTAGCCCAGAACCCCCAAATGTTTTGTCCGAATCTTCCGAATTCCGGATTTACCTGGTCCGGATCTTCGTGGGTTTACCGTACATAATACCCTCGTTATTTCATGTGATTGCAATATGAACCTTATTCCATTATAAAGCGTACATATTTAGGAAAAAAATAGTTAGCTATAGAAGAAAAGATGTGAAAAATTAATATTTCACTAGGGAGAGGCATAAGGAGGCACCACACTATCACCATGTGGTGCAATCTCCTTGCAGTTTTTACATTTTCACACCCCTCCACCCTCACCAGCAACTTGAGGCATGGTTCAAAACTCTCACAACACTGTTATGAGTAAATGAAATCACTGTGATGCACAAGAAATCAGCACAAGCTGCAAGAAAATGTTAGTCAACATTATATCCTGGGTCCTTTAAACACAAAAGGGAGACTGGTGTGGTGACCTTGGAGTGTAATATACATAGTTGCCAGATCACATTGACATTGCCAAATGTGCATCTTGCGGGTTTAGAGTTCCTATGCAAAAAAAAAAAAAAAAAAAAAAAATAGAAAATAAAAATAAATATATATATACTTTATTTACTTCATCTGCAAATTTGTGTATGAAAACCTTACAGCAATGATTTAGATCATACACAATTTTGTGCATGAAAACCCCAAGAGTGTTAATTAATGACCCTTGAAATAATTACAATGCTAGATATGCAAAAAGAACCAGTAACTTCTGTGATTGTACTTAGTCACTTATTTTTTACACAACCATGTAAAAAAAAAAGTGTAATACCAGTTATATGTCATAAATACCAGAGTACAATTTACCTATTTGTAATAAGCAACATTTTTGTACATATGATAAGAATTTAATATTTCAGCTGCTAATGAATAAGTATTTCTTAATAAAAATTCAGTAACTTCAAAATAGCAATTTAAGATTATTTGCCATACCAAGAATAATCAGCTAATAATAAGAGACAGAGACATGAAGGAGTCACTTAATTATTTATTCCTCAGTTACGAGGCTTTGTAATTTGTGAAGCCAACTGTCTGTGGTGTTTCATTAAAGGCTTATCTTACTAACATACCTGCTTTTTGCAACTTGTGTGACAGAATCCATGAGTGCTGGGATGCGTGAAGGTAGGACAAGAGCTTGGCTAATAACGGCTAATGTTGCCACACAATTTCCACGAAGCTCTGGATCATTGTCAACACTTTCCAATTGACACAAGTGTGGGAGAAACCTAAAAAAAAAAAAGATGATGACTAAGGTAATCTAGACAATGTGTTCTTATAACAAGACCTTTTGCCGTAAATAATAAAGAAAAGTTTCTAATGCCCAAGACAATTATTTTCTTAAACAACACAATTTATTTTAACAGAAAGATACAAAACTTGAAGCCTATCAGTAAAATATATTTTCAGATGTTTTGTTATTACAGTATTGTGTCTTAAATAAAACTTAATTTAAGCCATTCAAAGGAATGCACTGTGTAAGTGCATCTATACCGTACTATTGTTACTGTAGAAGATTGCTAAGTATATGACCTGCCAGTGGTGTATATATTTTCTACAAGCTAACAATGAACCATATTGATCATGTCCATCATATAAAACAAGAGTCATTAGGTGTTATACAAAATTTTCACTGAGTAGGAGCTTATACTAAAAGCAGGGACTAAGTATGACAATACAGTGGTCCCTCGGTTAATGAACACAATTCGTTCCACAGTCGTTCGTTAACTGAATCCATTGTTTCAATGGGATATGGGTAATTGATTCCAGCTCACAGAAAAGTACATACAAAGTAAAAAAAAATGCAGTAAAGTACACTTACTTTGAGGTGTGTATGTAGAAGGTTCCTGGTTGATGATGATGATGGGAATTAGAAGTGGGGGTGGAGGAGAAGGGAGAAGAGAAGGAAGTGGGGATGGAGGAGAAATCACCTTTCAGTGGACCCATGCTTGATGCAGTCATTTCACCAATAAAATTTTAAGTGCACTTGGTGTAATTCAAAATTATTTTATTTAAATCAACACTGCACTGTGCTATATATTATCAATATGTTAACTAAATTTCAGAATGACCAATAATTTTAATGTAAAAATGAAAAAATATTCAAGACACCAACAAAATCGATGTTCACTCCACTGTCAACAAAGCCAAACTGACACCTGGTGGCCGAGTCAAGCGGCTGATGGGCGCACAAAATACTAGTTCCCTATACTGCATATATTATCAATATGTTAACTAAATTTAAAATGACCAATAATTTTAATATAAAAATGCAAAAATATTAGAGCACAACTTTCTTGATATTTACTCCACTGGAAACGAATGTAAACATAGAACAGATTACTGAATTGGCAGACTAGCCCATCAGCTGATGCTCACAACAAAAAGTGTTTGTCATAAGGATTTTGTTCATCGAAGTTTTGTTCGTTAACCGAATTGAAGATCCTTATGGGAAATAATTCATTAACCGAAATTTCGTTAATCAAACCGTTCGTTGACCGAGGGACCACTGTAACTACAGGTAACTTGAAATTAATTTTAAGGAATGTGGTCTGATATCAACACTGTTCATTGATCAGCTATGGTGTAGTGAGAGGCAAGTACAGGCAGTCCTCATTAAATGAAAGGGATGCTTCCATGCAAGTGGTGAGTAAGTGAAAATTTGTAGTTTCAGTGATTTTCCCACTGACAGTTTTATAAATGGAGATTGCACTCTAGGGGGATTCTAACTGCTTACACAACTTAAGTAAAACTGATGAAACTAAATATAGTATAATTGCTCATTCAATTAATAACAACAGCACTAAACGTATTTATACAGTGCATGAATACTCAGCACAAATATGGAGATTAAAACTGAACAAAAAAGTAAATCTAAATATCATTGGGAATGACCAACTCATTCACAATATTGTTAATCTCACTCCAGAAACCTTTTGTAGCTTCCCCCAAAAGAGGAATGAACACTGGTGTGTAGTTTCTATGTGTACAGTACCTCCTCTATAAACTATAAATAATCCAGACCCATTGACCGGCTGATATAGGCATGCTCCCAGATGCCTGTGTCAACAGCTTGGTGTGTTTCGATGATATAAAAAATTTGCAATTTTTTATTTATTTATTTATTTTTTAAATTTTGTGTTTTCATTTGTATTTTACAGTATCACAAAACAGGATCAAAACAGAAGTCGCTTGACACGAAGGACAGGTCACTGACCTGATGCCCTGGGTTGGCAAAAGAATAGTATGGTACCTGCACAGTGAACCCTATTCGGTGGAGTTGTACAAGTTGTAGTGGAGTGGTGCAGTCTAAAGTAGCTTGGGAAGGACTTTTGAAATTTGCAGAAGAGGAAAAAAATGTGCTTCAGTGAAATTTTTTTACTAAATAAAAAATTTCACATAAACAAGAATAAATATAGCAGGCGTACATATACTGTAATGAAAACTGCCAGTAGTATAAGTACAGTACTGTATTGTTTTATAATGTTATTCTCTCAATGAATCACCCTTCTCACAAAAGGGTTTTCCCTTAATCCAAGATAGGTGACCATATAAGACTGATGACCCAGTGAGGTATTACCTTGTTATGAGTAAAATATTTAAATCTTGGTGTGTAGGAAGTTAAGGCAGAAATACCTGAAGATAATTCTACCTGTGGCCACCCTTCATGCTCCATAAGAATGCATCAAAACTATATTTTTAAAAATTCTATGTTTTGTCTAACATGCTTTTTTTCTCCACTAATTATCTGATGTTTACGAACTAGGTTTTACACCACTCAAGTTTGTTGTTAGACATCATAGATAAAACTATTAAAAATATATTGTCAATGATGTTAAAATTCAAGAAACAATAACAAGGAGGTTAACTAACCTATAAATTTCTGGTGTCACACCATTGTAGGAACGCCCCATCTGACCAACAAGCCATCTGCACACAGTGTTCATGAGGCGCACAGTTGCTTTACGTTCTTCACTACCACCAAAGAAGCCATTTGCTGGGCTCTTGACATGATTTTCATGAATGTTATTCTTTACACCAATAACAGAATCTGAAGGTATCATATTAACAGGCTCACAAATAATATCACTAGATATATCACAGTTTTCTCTGAGCTTCATTTTTGCACTGACCCTGAGGGCATCCTTGTTGTCTAGTCCAGCCAGGAGACCAGATGGCTCAAGGCTAGAAAGGTGGTTCACCAGAGGACCCATTAAGGGTATCTGGGAGGATCCACCTTTGTGCATGGAATTAAGCACCTTAGATAAACTGTCATTGTTCCTAAGGGAGGAACTTGGTAAACCCATCATAGAGGGTACAACTCTATCAGTAAACACCGTACCATTGGGCTGTGTGGGGGAAGGCATATCTTGGGAGAGTGGGAGTGGTAAACCACATTTCATGTCTGTGTCATAGTCATTTATAACTCCTGAACCTGAGTCCTGGATAAGAGTTGCTAGTTGAGGGAGAATGTAGTCTATAAACTGAGAACTACTGGGATAACGTGAAGTCACACCTCCTGGTAGTGCTAAGTCGTACATGAAGATACCCGTCAATACACTGGTGAGAGAAAAAGGAGGGTAAAATTAGAGGCGGTGGTTTTTATTTGCTATCCTAGTTACTTTAACAGTACACAAGTACAGAATATTGTATATGAAGTTTCATCCATAATTTACTTTAAAAGCATTACATGCACTCACACAGAAAAAACTGCACCATCAAGTTACTCAAGTAATAGTTCAACTTAGTACAGTATTTAAAAAGGATCTTCAGTTTTATTGTTATTGCAGTATTAAATTTTTATCTTATATAAGAACAGTCAAAGTAACAATAATGATGATGCCCAAGTTGTACAGTGAGTGAGTTTAAGGTCCAATCTTGAAAAAAAAAAATTATGTGGTATAAACTGCCGGATCAGTCTTTTTTTCATCAACCTTTATCCACTAAACTATAGGGTGGCTGGGGTCAAGCAAGAAAGCATGCACACACACACTCACTCACTCACTTTATCTGTTATTATTAATTAATTCTCAGTTATGCATATTGTGCTATGCAAGGTGGTCTGAAAGTCTTTATCTATTGTTGAAGCAGTGGCTGTTCAGAATAAAATTATTATTAATATAAAAAAATATATTTTGTATCAAGCTTAGCTCTAATACATCATTTGAACTTCAGCATAGAAATAGCAAACCATTTATACAGTCAACACCTGCTTAACGTACAAGATGCATTCCTGAAAAACTGTACATTAAGCTGACATCATCTTCCACATGATACAATCTGTGATATGTCCCACAACATTCCCTAGAATTGCCTTTAATAATTACAAAATGGTTAAATATGAACTCATAAACTTAAAGCAGTGAACAAGTGTATGAGTACAATAAGAATGCCATGTGAAAAACAGAGAGAGAAAGACAAAGGAAAATTGTTAGTTTAGATAAGAAAATGGATAAGTTCAGGCATTTTGAAAAGCTGGAATGAACTGTGGATATTACTATAGGCCAAAGCTCAGCATTTAACATTAATTATGATGTTTCTAATATATATATTTTGGGGGGGGGGGGCAAGAAGAAAAAAGTTAAATTTTTGTTGTTGTAAGTGATGTACAGTACCTTTATGTGAGATAATGTAATGTAAATAACCATAAGGAATGTTACCTCAACTAATAACATTATAATTATAGTAATTTTGGCGGGGTTACAGGATGACCGAGATATGGTCTAAATAATTTTCATCCTAATCTTACCTTATTTATTACCACCATCATCTGCAAATTTTGTCTAGCAGGACAATCTTGAAACATTATTCAATATCTGAGTTTATATTTGTCAATATTCATGGATGGTTGGACACTATACTTGCCTTTAATAATCAGATCAGAAAAATGTTCGTGTAAAAAAAAAAAAAAAAAAACTGACCTTCCCATTCGATCCCTAATGCTTTTATATGGGTGTGAAAGTGATGGCCGCAGATACTCCAACAGTCGATGGCTTAACTCTGCTACACGCCACTCCTGTTGCCCTAAGCCTCCCATCAACATGTACATTCGGCTGTGAAGAAGGGTTCAAACAAATAACATTATTTATATATTTACATAAATGCAATTAAAGTCACATGTATCTAATACAAATAATGCTTTTATGGTACAGTGAACCCTCAAAAATCTGGACTAAAAGGGGGGACCACCTGTCCGGAAAAGCCGATTGTCCAGATTATCCGGCGAATAATAAATGATATAAGAAACACCAAAAATACAGTACTAATGAAGTGATAAACAAATTACTGTATATAAACAATGCATTTATCTATGATAACATAATAAAAATCATTGTATCATTACTAGAGTGAATGAAATAATATTCCCACAAACAACAATAGTCAACTTTGTTTATGTTTCCCACCTCCTCAAGCACCTGTGTCCAAGCAGCGCCCACGGGCCTAAAATGTTCTTTGCTCTGGTTTGGGAATGCTTCTTAGAGAAACTTCTAGAAGGCTTCTTAGCCCAGAACCCCCAAATTTTTTGTCTGGATCTTCTGCAATCTGGATTTCCCAGGTCCGGATCTTCGAGAGTTTACTGTATTTACAACAGCATAGTGCATGCAGTATTTCACTCAAAACACTTTCGCTATCAATTAACTACATATCTTGAGTATAAAGACTATAGAGTAATATTCATCATATCATTCACAGAAGAATTTTGCATGGAGGTACAGTCATGCGCCGGTTAACGTCCTAGATACGTTCTTGGAAACATGACGTTAACCGAAATGGACGTTGTCCGATCATCACAGAAACTTTGTATTTATACTTACGTGTATGTGGAATACTATATACGTACATATACACTTTTACTCTTAAATCACTACTGTAATGTGAGACAGGTGATTAATTTTTCTCTTGTGCAAAATACATGACGTTTATATTAAAATTATTCACTGTTTTACAAGGATTCCAGCAACGCTGAGCAGATGGGGGAGAGAGAGGGTGGGAGTGAGCGAGGGGGCGTGGGGGGAGGGGAGGTAGTACGTTTGACAGTTGACACAGGCCCAGGTCTAACGCGTGTATATTTATCAGTTCTTAAGTGACTAAGCTTCTCTCTTATAAAAAGCTAGTGAAATGACCTGGGTAAATATGATTAACATTGCTGGGATTCTTGTAACATACTGATTTATTTGAATATAAACATGCTATAATTTGCACTAGACAAAACAATTTTAGTACCGTAATCAAATTAGTACATGTGCACTCCAGCATTGCACTAAGGTCATATATTTCCATTACGTTTCTTTTAGTATGGTGTGTTCATGTAAATGGATGAAAATAAATGAAGAAATCTATGTAAATCTACCCAAAAATACAGTTGAAAAACTTTTTTTATAAAATGTACTACAGTACTGTACACTAATGTACAACAATTTTTATCTCTTAAGCAAAATATATGACGTTTATATTCAAATTATTGGCTGTCTTGCAAGGATTCCAGCAATGCAAATTATAATCTCCTAACTTTAGTCTGAGATATTATATAAGATAAAAACTGTAAGCCTAAAAGCCTGGCTGGGGGGAGGGACTGATGGCTCCGCCACCCAGCGAGGGGTTGGGGGGGTTGAGGTGATAAGTTTGAGGTGAAGGTCTCTGTGTGTTTATTTAACAGTCCTACTAAGCTTCTTTCCTTTTAAAATGCCAGTGATATGACCTAGGAAAATATAATTAACATAGCTGGGATTCTTGTAAGATACTGATTTATTTGAATATAAACATGTTGTAATTCGCACTAGACATAACAATTTTAGTACCGTAATCAAATTAGTACATGTGCACTCCAGCTTTGCACTAAGGTCATTTATTTCTTTTACGTTTATTTTAGTATGGTGTGTGCATGTAAATGGATGAAAATAAATGAAGAAATTTATGTAAATCTACCCAAAAATACAGTTGAAAAACTTTTTATAAAATGTACTACAGTATTGTACACTAATGTACTACATTTTTTATATCTTGAGCAAAATATATGACGCTTATATTCAAATTAATCTCTGTCTTGCAAGGATTTCAGCAATGCAAATTATATTATCCTAACTTTAGTCTGAGATATTATATAAAATAAACAAAGAAATCACCAATCTTTTGTCTGGGAACACAAGGAGGGAGGTAGCCAGCTGAGGTGTGAGAAAAGGGGGGAGATGAGGTGACAGTGTCTTTATTTATTTGAGATAAGATTTGACAGTTGGCGCTGAAGGCCTGCGTGTTTATTTATCATTACTTAAGAGTGACTAAGCTCTTCTCATAATTTGCCACCCAAACGACCTGGGTGAATATAACTTACATGTAAGAGTAATTTATTTGAATACCTGTATAAACTGAAGGTTCCAAGTGTTCCCAGAAGAAGGCAGTGATGGGTAGGGAAACACTAGGTAACACTGAAGTCCATATATTAACGGATAGGAGAAATACAAGTGGTGACTAGCGTGCGCCTTGCACGAGACACGGAGTCAGACTGAGACTGCCTTGCCATATGGCAGCCTCGGGGCAATGTTGCCACATAACACGTGCAGTGTTGCCACGTGATTACATATATAAATGCTACTCGGCACAGTAGCTTAGATACATAACCTACATCTCCTTCCCCCCCCCCTCACGCTCATAGTCTTTGTCTTGAGCGGACTTCTTAGTCCTAAGTCGCTCCGAGCGTCGAGGCGCACTGTGGGGCAGATCCTCGTGAGGTGTAGGGGGACTCGTCCTCGGTCAGGGGGCCAGCAGCAGGGGGTGGGACTGGCCGGAGGAAGCGGCGGTTCCTCCACCAGACACGGCCGCTCGGCATCCTGACCTTGTAGTCTCGCGACCGGCCGACGCCCATCACTATGCCCACCTTGTCCCAATGTGTCGTCGTCGGGTCCTGGACGCGGAAAAGGGCACCAATCTCCAGTGGCTGAAGAGGGCGGGCACGGTCGTCATATCGAGCCTTGACGTCCTGGGCACGTGAAGTGGCGCGGCGGTCGCAGCTCTCGGCTCTGGTCTGCCAGTCCTTCCCAAAGGCCTTGGCGTGTGCAGGAACGCAAGAGCGGAGAGGGTGACCATACAGGATCTGGGCAGGGGAGCGTCCTGTGTGGGTGGGAGTGGACGCGGGTTCTGGGCAGCTCTGTGCAGCAGTGCCAGGCGCGTTGCTCGTTGATTCACGCACCCTGCTGGCGGTGTACCGAGCAGCTGGGATCTGCTCGGGAAAGTCTCTGGGCACCAATCCTAACTCCTTGCAGTGCTCCCACGACAACAAGGGTGTAGCGAGAGTAGGCTGCACGTCGATCCACCCGTGACACGACCTGTCGCCGTAGGTGATCTCAGCTTGAAAGGAGCCCACAGCATCCGGCATCTGGAAACCGTCCGCATTGTAGTACTGCAGCTGCGGCAGTGGTCCCGGGTCGCGTTTGGTGAGGCCCAGTTTCTGGAGGTGCTTCAACCCAATCACCGTAGTATCAGCGCCGGTGTCCGGTATCACCTCAATGTGACCCGACACATCACCGTGTGTGACGGCGACGCGGATGGTAGGGGAAGGGGTAGCCCTGGGGCGTGTGGTCGATTCCACCCTCCTGATGTGACTCAGCTGCTACTTTGGGCTGCGTGGGCCATCTGAAGGGGGCTGCGTGGGCCATCTGAAGGGGGCTGCGTGTGAACCACCCCGAGGGAAGTGCACTGCTTTCCTCCTCGTCTCGGGCTTTTGGGCTTGGGTTGGCGGCAGCACTTGTTGTAGTGTCCATAGCGACTGCAGGCCTGACACTTGTGGCCTCGTGCAGGGCACCTGTCTGTGTTAGACCAGTGGCCCTTACGGTCACATCCACAACACAGTGTGTCGGCGGCCGGGCATGTCTTGGGGCCATGCTGCTTTCCACAGGAAGCACTAGGCGGGGGCGTGGAAGAACGTGCGGCAGCCTTCACGTTGTTGGCCACCTTCTTACCCTTCTTGTATTGTGAGATAGCTCTCACAGCAGGTGGGGCCCGTAAGGCAGAGGTGGCGGACTTGGTGGCCTCGTATGACCGACATTCAGTCACTACCACCTGGAGTGTGGAGGAAGCGTCCAGGGGGATGAGTCGCTGCACCAACTCTTCTTGCCTGACACCTGCCAAGATCCCGTGCTTGATCCAGGCTTCCTCACATTCCCGGCTGTGAGCCTTGCAGACGTCGATCTCCTCCGATAAACTCTTCAAACGTACAAAAAAGTCGTCAAAGGATTCATTTTCCACCTGCTTGCAGCTGGTGAAGGCGCGGCGATGCAAGGCCTCGTTATTCCGACCTTTAACGTGCTCCTGCAAAAGGTCGAGCACATCCGTCACTGAAGACATAGAATCGGGAGGCACTTGCAATGTGTGCTCCAAAACTCTCTGGGTCTCCAGCGACAAACACATCCGCAGTTGGATGAGCTGTTTGTTTGGAGGCATGCTGTCAAGGCCCACCATCGTGGAGTAATCTGTCCACCGCCGCCTCCACTCAAGAAAAAGCTGAAACGTGACATCTGGTGAGAGGGCGGGTGGGGGTTGAACAGATGCCTTGGGAGCTGTTGGAGTAGCAAGAGTGCCTGGAGGACGCTGGTGTGGTGGAGGAGGGAGGGTACTGGCGCCTTGGTGCGCGATACCTGCGAGTGAGGGAGGGTGGGTTAGCGCCAGGGTCGCCAATAGTGCATCAAAACGCGACTTTTCCTCCTCTCTTCGTGTCTCCTCCCTCTGAAGTTCCATCTCTCTGCGTCTCTCGTCCCTGTCGTCCATCCACCTCAGAATTGTGGCAATGTCCGTCGCTGGAGGTGGAGGATGAGAGTCTACGCCCGGTGGAGGGGAGTTATGTCTCCCATCTTGACGTTGTCCCTTCTTACCGCCCATCTTAGTATGCTTGAACTGCGCTGTTTAGTATATAAAGTGGCGCCTCATCAGCTCGAACCACATATATATGACATAAACAGCGCAGAAATAACGCATAGAGTCCACTGTTCTGTCCGTGAGTGCGTGCGTGTGTGTGTGTCTGAGACAGCAGATGCGGTGGCCTTAGGCTAGAGCCGCCGCGGAGGCAAGAATGTCAGTGTCTCCCCAGATGTCACGCGAGAAGGGTGTACGCCTGCGTGCTCCGTGGGTACCACAAAAAACAGGCCAATGCTCAACTCTCAGCTCTAGACACACTAATACACTGACACTAACACTGCCACCGTCACTAAAACGCACTGTGACGGCGCAACACTGCACGTCGCGGCGAAACACAACGCAACACAACACACTAAGAGTCGATGCGCACATCGCCGGCTAACTGCCCATTGTTCACACACTTGTAAGTTCCACAGATCCTATTCACTGCGCCATGAAGGTTCCAAGTGTTCCCTGAAGATGGCAGTGATGGGTAGGGAAACACCGAAGTCCATTTATTAACGGATAGGAGAAATACAAGTGGTGACTAGCGTGTGCCTTGCACGAGGCACAGAGTCAGACTGAGACTGCCTTGCCATATGGCAGCCTTGGGGCAATGTTGCCACATAACACGTGCAGTGTTGCCACGTGATTACATATATAAATGCTACTCGGCACAGTAGCTTAGATACATAACCTACATAAACAAGCTATATTTGCAATTCAATTTCAATTGTTTATTCCTTGATAGAGGAAGCGGGATCCTAGTGCTGTCACTTGGTACCCCTGTACCATAACACCAGAAGCAACTGGCCAGTGTCACAAGTATATACAGTACAGTACAGTCATCCCTTGGTTATCGCGCCTAATTGGGACCCCACCGATAACGAAAGTACAGAACCTGTGGGATTTATTCTAATTGGTTCAAGGCACCCAAGACCCAACCCCAAGTTTCCCATTTTACGACCATTTAGATCCACTAAATATATATATAAAGTTATGGTAAATATCATAAACACACATAGGCATGGCTAGGTTTATTACAAAGTGATGAAAAGGGTACGCTTAATACTGTAGTCCACAAAACATGTAGCTATGCTTTTTTTATTTGGTCCCCCATCATAGGAGTCCGTTTTCTCTCACATCAGGACGCCTGAGTCCTCTGTTTTCTCTCTTAATCTTAGAGTGCACCAGAGACTTCGATATTCCTTAGTAATGCCATAGAATTTGAAATTGCAACCCCAATTGCAACTGGGGTTGCAATTGTTGAGGCAACTAGATATGTCTGATTACAGCAAATGTGTTTTTGTCAATTTGTAGGTGAAAGATTTTATCCTCAATAGATGTAGGTTAACATTGCACCTGGAGGCAAATGCTTAAAAAAAGCCTAAGGAAGGAAGCATATTCCTTTAACACATAATATCTGACCAGTATGGGGAGGATCATCGTGTCTCCGTCAGGGGGTCGTGGAGTGGTGGTCCAGCAGGCGTCCACGGATTATTATTATTTGGGGGGCAGGACGTATATGCGATCGGACGTTGTTCGGCCGGACGTTAAACGGCGCATGACTGTATAACTATATATTCTGTGCAGTAGTTACAAGTTACTGCAATTCTACACAAAACTGAAAACATCCCAAGATGAAAATATAAGAGAGAAACATATTGAACTACAAAACACAGTACAGACTATGTCCCCTAATAGTGGTGCCAATTTGATTGCCATTTTAAATTAAGTTAAAAATTATATTGAGCATTTTTTCCAATTATCCTTTAAATTTATGACAAGTGCGATGAAAAATATCTTTGTTTCTATACGATGCTCAGTAACAGATAATTGAGGAGGAACAGACAGGAGAGCAATCCTATAATCCCTCTTTGGTTTAAAATTGGTGGTCACCTACCTTGAACCATTGAATGCTCCTTCACTAGCTCTGAGGGGATCATCCATTAAGAGCTCCATCAAAGGTTCTAATCTGTTGGGATCTCTGTCAGCACTAGCTGTGGCCATGCATGTGCCCCAGTCCTCCACTGTCTCAACAGTTACTTTGGCCATCCCTATTTGTAGGACTGGCTTTAGTATCCCCCATAATGCCTGATGTTTGGCAAAAGTCCAATGTTTGCTTCCCCGAATCATACCTGGAAATAATAGGAACTGCTTTTTATGGAAAATATGATCTATGGGTAAATAAAAATATACAGAGGAACCTTAATTTGTACTTTTTTTTCCATAATTTCACGTATACAACAAGGTCAATTAATTGTGTGACCTATGAATAAATCATTTGTGCCGCTGAATCACTCAAGCCTTATCTTTACCCAAAATTCATTGCCCTCATTAAGTGTCAACTGTAAGTTTAGAGGAAACAGGTGACATTTGCTCAAAAACTGATACAACATGTGTGAAGATGCAGCAAGTAGAGAAGGTGGAGATGTTGGACAGACTGTACACACAGTGTTGGAGGAGAGGGATTTGATGATTCCCAGTTGGTGGAGGTAGAGGAATTACTTGAATCCCACTGCAATGAGCTCAGTGAGGGAGAGCTGCAGGAGCTGATTCAATTAAACACCAGTGAGAAAGAGGTGGAAGTGACACCCAGGACATAGCTAACAATGAAAAGCCCAGATAATTGTTTTCAAATGGGTAAGGAAATTGAAGACCTTATTTCAGATGAGGTTCTATTTATTGAACAGATCTTGAAATTTTTGGTGCACAGGGCTTTTAGTAGTAAATATATAAAGATTTGCATAATAGAGCCATACAAGTGATCACCATTTTTTTAAATACATCAACCACCATGTTCTTTTCTCAGCATGATTCTACACCAAGTTCTCTCACAAGTGAGATGCCAATGCTGCTGCCTCAACCTCCACCAGCTCCGCTCCACACTCCCCAGGATATTCAGGCAAATCCTTTAGCTTCAGACTTCAACATCAACATATCATTATTTCAAGTTCATCATCATTAGAGGTGTGTAGTAAATCTAAATATCCTTAAGCTGTTTACTGTAATATTTTGTTGTGTGTATATGATCTTATTGGATGAAATAATTTATCTTATGAGTCTGGAACCAAACATCTGTTTCCCATAGGTCCTTTGTATCTAATTTTATTTTTCTATTTATTAGTGTTTTTCGAGAATGTAACCAATGCGTAAATTGAGGGCCGACTGTATATTAAAACAAAATTATTATATAAAAATGGTATCTTATATCTAATAACTTTATTTCAAATCAAAGGATAAAAAATATTTCAACCCAAGTACCCATCATTATCTTTGCTCTTCTCCTACTTTAGTGTGGGGTGGATCAAGAGGTAGAAAAGCCTCAAAGAAGGGGAACTATCAGAGTGATGCAGAACTAGTGGGAGTAGGATTACAAAAGTGATAAAAAGAAAAATGAACCATGAGCCTACCAGTGATGATCTCTGTAGCACATCTCTGACTGCTCTTATGAGTTTCTCCAGCAAGTCTCTTAATGTGGCCTTGCAACATATGCATGAAAGTGTCACCAAAGTTCCGGAACAAACCCTGCAAGTTAGGAGACGAGTAATGTTACTTTGGACATAGATGGCAATTTCAAGGTGCACAGTAAATTAAATTAAATTCTATACAAGTGAAAGAGATTTAGATTAATTACAATAATCATTATCATCTTAATAACTAATATTCTGACACCAGGTATACACTGTATAATGGACTCCTAACCCAAAAGACAGAGGTTCATGCCAACTGTTGGAGTGAGTGGTTACATGTTTGGGTATGGTGTGCATAAACACAAAGTTAACCAATCTATTACACCAGCAAGGCTAAGACTAGGAAACCAAGCTCAGACATACAAAGTATTTTGTTTGTGTATGATGGGAATATTCCTACAGAATGGCAGCCACGTGGCAACTGGCGCCAAATCACGTGTAGGCGAGTTTGCCTACGTGAAGGGCAGATTGGCATCACAAATAATTTCTTTCTTATATGGCGGGAAATACTGCATATTTACCTTGTATTAGTGTATTGTATTTCTCTACATGTTTATTGTTTAAGTATGTATTACTGTACATCATTTCTATTATATCAAATGAGGTTACTATATGTATTGCATTTCATGTGTTGGAAACCTACATGTATCCTCTTTACTAAAGGTATTCACAATTTTATGATTCACCCAAACCCGACAAATGGCAAGGGATTATTGCAATGGGTGCAATGAGGGTTTTATTAATGTGTGCAATAAAATAAAATAAAACAAACCAGTAAATTATGAATGAGTCTGAAGTAAATCACTCATATAAAAATGATATGCTAGGATTAAATTACTAACTTGTGAAAAAATCTCCATTATATTAATGCCATTGGCAACACAGGATGAAACGAACACATATACTGTATAGTACATAAAAATCTAATGCAAAATCCACCACCTTAAACATCCAGAAACGTCGAGTGTTGAAACTATCCCGTTCTTTATTTTCCTCAAGTGATAAAAACGACACTAATTTGTCAACATTATCTTGATGCATGAAGAAGTCATAAATTTGCAGCTCTTCATCACTCAGCTCTTCTCGTTTTCTGTCTAGAGGAGGCTGTTGTGACGGAGCAGCGTACACCAACAAAGATCTGGAATTGCATCATCTCTAAGTTTTTTATTTCCAAGACAAACTACACAGTATTAGTCATATGTCATATTCTCACTTAATTAACAGATCCAAATCATCTTATATGCAAAGGGAATAAAAAAAAAGGATATTAATTACAGTATTACAAAATCCCTGGAAATACTTCTCTTGTATTACTAAATGAAGCTGCACTTACTTTGGCCATGTATACCATCCAAAGTATGTCTTTTCCACAAATTTTGTTTGTTCCCACTCCTCTTCAGTTTTGATTTTATGGGAACTGTCATACTGCATCCACCTAGCAGATAATAATGTCAGTATAAAATGTAATAATTTTTCTTACTTAATTGTAAGTTTAATTTTTTTTCTAACCATATTTCAATATACTATACTACTGTACTGTACTGTAATATTAACAGTGCCTTCACTATTGCTGCACTTGCTGACACATCCAATCCTAAATATCTGCCACATTTCAAGACCCTCATTCTATTGTTGTTCATTCTCCAACTGCTAATGAAGATGACAATATTTAACAATTAAAATGTCAAAATGTATAATAATAAAAAAAAAAAAAGCAAATAAACTCACGCATTATCTGGTCTGAAGTCTCCAGGAATTGAGCTGCTAGGAATTTCATGTGCACCATCAACACTGTACGGGTCAATTGTAGTTTTCTTGTGCTTCCGTTTTTGATTCTTTAGGATCCATGGTATGTAAAATATGGATGTCTGAAACAATATTTAACCATTATCACAAATTATTTTTCAACACCACATTGATTTCACACTTATGTCTGCCACATATTTCCTGAAAAAGAAAAACAGAAGCACTTTAAAGCTGGATTGCATAATACAGTAAAACCTCGATAAATCGGACTTCAATACAGTATATCGGAATTCGCCTTTTTCGGACTCTGTGATGCTTTGGTCACCAGAAATACTATAAAAAAAATAAATAAAAAAATAAAGTAATGGGGTAGATTAAATAAAAAAAATCTGACGAAATGAAGACTGTACATTGGTCTAATAAGACACTGAGTTTGTAAGCAGGCTGGGGCTGATCAGGTGTTGCCACATTTGTCAGGTTTACTTATTTAATGATTCACTATTATATTCTCATATGATTGGCTACTTATGGTTTTTCATCAAGATTAATATACAGTAATAGAGAAAAATACATTACTGTATGTAATTTGTAATATGACTTGAAAATAAGAGGATAAGCTGTATCAGAAGGTTGTTTACTCAGATACGTTCGTGTGAGCTTTTAGTAGACCGGTTTACAACAGGGGTCACTATAACACACTGTATAGTATTTGTTATGAATATACCTTTTTAAAAACGTTATATACAACCTTTGAGTGATATATGATGACTCAGTTTGACTAGTTGTACTGAGACAAATAATTAATGAATAAACTTGAGTACATGCAGGTGCATAATACTTTACACTACAATATTACTTATTAAGTGATATGATCCAAATTATTTGAGAATTGTGGTGGAATTGCCTAAATAAGTGATAAAGGAATCTTGTGGGAGAAAGGGGGTGGGAGCCACCCACCCGAGATACCTCTCCCCCCCGCCAGCTGCTCACAGATAAACATTCGTCTTCCACATACAATATACCATACTGTACTTCTACACTTATTTTTGTTTTATTTTTATCTCTATAGTACTGTACAGTATACAGTTTTCTCTTTATTCATAAGACAAATTCAGTGGTTACTTCCACATAACATTTTACAGTAAATAACAATCATCTCGGTGACAACAGTTGTTGACAACCCTTCTGTGTCTGATTTTCAACCTAGAGAGTTCTGTTTCATATTTTTTCATCGTTGATGTAATTCTTTTAATAACCTTGTTATATACTTAAAGACCTTAGTTGTTGAATTGCAGTAATAACATAACTGATTTTCTTTAAGCAGTTCAGATAAGCAGTGTTATCTCCAACTCCACCCCATATATTCGCTTTTCTCGGACTTTCGCATTTTTCGCACTGGGGTCTGCCCCAATTAGTCCGATTTATTGAGGTTCTAGTGTACTGTAGTTAGAACGACATTCTAGTATATAAATAAAATATTTATCAAGACTCACAGAGGAAGAGAATCACAAAATACCATGGAAACTTTTACATAGTATTTCTTGATTGCAATTAATAAAAAAAATTGAGTCCTTTCCAAATCTTCTCTCTCTAGTTACTATATGTCAACTTTTTTTTTTTTAACTTACTTCTCTTATGCGGATGTTGTCATGAATGAGATTGGTGGTGAAGGCTCGGACACCATTAGCAGGGAATGTGACATCAGGACGGATGAGACAACCAAGGAGGTTGAGAGCCATGTTGTGAGTACGCCAATGTCTGCGAAAGGGGTTAAGAAATGATGACCCTTTAAAAATAACTTATTCATAAAAATATAAACACACTGTCTATTGTTTTACCTAATACAAACTTACTTATATATATGCAGCCACTCCTCAACTTACGACGGGGTTAGGGACCCAAATCCAGGTCGTAAGTCGAATTGGTCGTAAGTCGAAAATGCGAAGATAATACTGTACATAGAAAATCTAAAATGGGTGTCTCTTTTTCTTCTCAGCACCTCAAAGATCTCACTTTTAAGCATGCCAGCCATTTTAAAGGGAATTACAAACAAAAATTTTGTCAGTACACAGCGCAACCACTAACGGCAGGACTCGAAACTATGTAATTTGAAAAAAATTTGGTAAGACTGGGGAGGTCGTATGTCCGGGTGGTCATAAGTCGAGTAGGTCGTAAGTTGAGGAGTAGCTGTATATATATATACGTGTATACTGAACAAGGTAGAGTAAGCACATTCCTACCCACCTACAGAACTAGGCTAAGTACCACAGGGTCTCACTATCTTTTGAACTGTTTTTATTGATCTTTAAGGAGAAAATGGGGATAGGTTTCGTAACCCTCCAAATTTTTGCATATCCTCAAAAAAAAGAAAAAAAAAAGAAAAAAAAAAGAAAAAAAATGTTATATAGGCCTTTAAAGATCATTTATTATCCCACATTTCAACAACCCCCCTAATCAGTCTCCATTCGAAATACCAAAAATATACAATAGTTGCACAAAAGATATGATAAAACAGCAAAGAAAGTGAAGCAACAGCCATTAATATTTTAGTACAGTACTGTATGTGAAAATGAATGAGCTGTTGAGAACAATCGAATGTTTTTAGGGGTAAAAGTATTACAAAATTCTACAGATAAAATGTAAAGAAAAGAGTGTCACAATATAATTTTGGCTGGAACTAAAATCTATTGAAAATCTGAAGTACAGTATATGATAAATAACAGAGGCTCTCATGTTTTCCTACAGAAACACGGAGCTACATAATCTGAGGCACAAAATAAAGATTATTTAGCTTTATAAATGTCAAAGAATTAAGAGCAAAGTGGCCTCTTCTTATACTACAGATAAAAACATGTGCTGTAAAGCTAACACTTTGATGTTGGAATGCAAAAAACGTGCAGTCTAAAGATAGTCAGTTAACTTGAAGTGCACAATTATATTAATTTCTAAATACAAATAATAATAAAGGCACTGACTTAAAGGTTACTGAGATAAGACTGAACCTGTAATTTGTTAACATCAACAAGAGTGTCTGCACAGTCATGAAAGTACAGTATAATTTATTTTATGAAACAGATAGAAGGATATATGGGGACAAATGTGAGTACAGTACTGATAAAAAAAGGATCCATGGGAAATTAGCATAAAAATAATGGAAATGCAAATGTTATATATTATATGGATGCCACAGGGAATAAAATGGGTGAGACGTATGACTAAGGCAGAGAGGAAACTGTATATCCTTAGTGTCTGAAAGGAAATATGGCAAAGGTAAGCTTAAATATATACAGTATGATTTTTTTTTTTTTTTACGAGGAATAGCCCACACAGGCACAGGTCATCGACCCACAACAGGGACTAGGGGGCGAAAAAATAAGAGTAAAAAGAAATTAAAAATAGAAAAGAAAAAGATCATATTAATCTACACCACGAAGATGCCAATATTAATGATGCTTTCCTAAAGTTATTGGTTGCAGTAAAACAAAATTTTAGCAAAATCTACTCACAATGCTCCTGAATTAAGATGATTCACAATCTTGCTAACAAGACTCTTATACAGTTCATGATTTGTATTTCCTCTTTGTGCTAACCGTTCACAAGCTGAAGTTCTGGCTTCCTCATTTACGATGTTATCTTTTACTCGTGGGAATTCTGATTGTAAAAGATTTTCTGCAGCTTTTACAATACCTGGTGATACCTGGAAAATAACGAAAAGGGATACAATTTAATACCTTGACCATTAGGCTTGTGTAGTACTGTACAGTACATCACTGAGTTTACAAGTCAGCCCAGGACATTCTGCAACATGGACCTGGCACATCCAGACAGGTTGAAAGAGGGCTGTTATGTCTCCCTGAGGTCTGGACATTTGTGAGGTTTTTGCCTTTAAATCAATGTGAGGACAATAAATAAATAAATAAAAAAAAAAAAAATTAAATAATTTTTTTTTGTAACCGAGTTTTTCTAAATAAAATCCTTGTAAACTGGAGTCTACCCATACAGTACTTCAATATCCAATTCCAAGACAAGAAAGTCATGTAACCTAAAATTCTTAAAAAATTATATTTTTTAGTATGCCCAAAATCTTACCAAAATACTGTTAAACATGTTCTCGGATCAAAAAGATATTTTTCTTGTGTGTAGTCTTTGTAATTGCTCTTAATAATCCAGTTTCACTTTGGCAAGATGATACTTATAGATAGGCTGAGATACTTTGAGCATGTAAAAAAAATGGAGATCAAATGGTCAAGCAATGAATAAGTGTGAATGCAGAGGAGGAGGAGAGATAAGAATGACATGGTGAGAGGTACGAAATGACTTCATAGATAAGAACCTCATGAGATAAACTGCAAGAGATTGTATAGCAAGGAGTGTTGCCATCTGGTAATCATGGTTAACCCATGAAAATGTGGGAATGGCAGTAGAACTGTGGTGATGATAACAATGTATTGTATCAAAACAGTATCATCTCTTGTTCATCACATATACAGTTTTTTTTTTTTTGAGGGAATAAACCAAGAATTCAAAACTGCAAACAGCAAGGGTCTACTATAATAAAATCTTCAATAACTCACCGTAATGTATAAGCATAATACAGTGCATTAGAAAATAGTGAATAAATCTTTGGAATATACCATAATATCTGTAAATGATAGTAACAACTTAAGTCATTAAGAAACCATACATCAGTGTAGCAATTTTTACAAACCTGATGGTATATTGCAAACAGTTCCATGTAGTAGTACACAGCATCTGAGAGTGCACTCATTAGTCTAATTATTGATGGCTTTTCTGAATGCTTTGAAGCAATCAAAGCTGGCCATACCATGTTGAGACTCTCCCAATCACGACGAACCATTAATGACTTGTTCTGACGACCCAACAATAGGTAGAGACTTCCTGGAGAGAATAAAACTATGTTAGCATTTCTGCATTCATCATTAAGTGCACAACAGCCACAAAATAAATTGAAAATATCTTCATAAACTAAATAGGCTGAGGGCCTTGGGAGTGGAAACTACTCAGATGACAGACCAAACCACATACACGTATATTAAAAATACTGAAAGGGATTGTAAATGCTAATCCAGATCACATTTTCATGATGTCAAGCAGTGCAAACACAAAATGTCAAAACTTCAATCCTGCAAGGTGTCATACAAAACAAATATTGTACTGTTTAAGGAAGTATTTCTTCACATATACTGTACTGTTGGGTGGTAGACCTATGGAATGAACAGTCTACCAGCTGAAGCTGTGGAAGCTAGAATTGTTCTATGCTTTATACTAGTTCTAAATAAAACCCTTAAGAAAATGGGGAATCCTACAAGGCCATTGGTCTCCTTTTCCTGTAATGGGTACCCGTTGTTGTGGTGGCTGTTGGGTAAATTATGTAGGTAGATAGGCAAGTAAATTAGCACACTACTGAGCTTTTCACCTATCAGTTAAGATCTTTATAAATGTTTAATTCTTTGTGAGAAATGTGAATTTCATTACAGTAGGCTCTCATATTTGGATACCTATTTAGACTGTAAAAACCTCGCGAAATTCAAATCGTCCACATTTAAATACAACTTCTTATGGAGAAAATTAATTTGAGTCTGGTACTTTCGATGTTTGGCTAAATTTTGCATCATTTACCCTACCTTTTTGGCGAATTACTACCTGTAATAAAGCAACATCCTATTGAACCAACAAAAATAACACAGATAAAGTTAAATAAAAACTAAAATCAACACAGAAAAAGTTATTATGTTCTACAGCTTCAGCTAGAGTTGAACCTGATGACTTGGCAACTTCGACATCCGAGTAAAAAAACACACAACAACATATGTTTTCACATGTGTGCACTTACATAAGCGCAGTCTCACTTTTTTCTTTACCATTAATGGTTAGCTACTTCTATTGTTCCATTTATTAAAATTAAATAACATTACTTAAAACAACCAAATTAATTTTTTTATTAATTTTACTACAGCTACAACCAGGGTCTTATTTTCTTCAGTTTTATATGTAGAACCAGCCAGTCACTGGTTTTGTAAACATTAACGAAAACAATGCCGTCTCGTCTCCTCATGTGTTTTAATATTCTACGTATTATTAATAAATTGTATTGTTCATTTTGCACACTCAAACCCGTCGACATTCGAGTTTCTGCTGTCGAAATTTTAAATTGTGTAGTGTTTTTTTGTCCAAATTAAAAACGTTGAATTAAAAACTCGCAAAATTTGAGAACCTACTGTACATGTATTTGGAATCCAGTTATGTACAGTAAGTCCTCGCTTAATGTCGTGGTTACGTTCCTGAAAATGCGACGTTATACGAAACAACGTTAAGCGAATCAATTTTCCCCATAAGAGATAGATAAAATACGGGAGTTACGTTCCTAAGCCTCCCTTTGCACCATGAAATACATTACATATATAGAAATTCAATGGCATTTTTTTAGAAAATAGTAAACTGTATAAGTAATATCTCCGTTAGCAGGAATCCTTCAAGCCCGGAAATCTCTGATAGCCGAGAGAATTTTCTGAAAATGTCTTGAAAAAAGATGAAAGGTAAAATATTTTTTGGGGGGACCAGACCTGACTCAATGTCAGATGGAGGTAGGGTGGGGGATTAGTGGTCTCATATTATTGACCTTCTGATAGAATGTCAGGTCACCCTTTCTTGGCTGGGGGATTAGTGGGTCTCATGACCTGAAGATGTAGTGAATAAACACGAAAGCTAAAGTATTTTTAGAGAGATTGTGATAAGCATAAGTAAAGTCTCTCCTTAACTTACGACAGCCCGGACATATGATGGTCATGGTCGTATAAAATATTTTTCCCATTACGTATTTTCGATTTCAAAGGTTAGTGATCGCGCTGTGTACCGATAATTTTTATCTTTTTTTGTAATTCCCTTTAGCATGGCTGGCAAGCGTGAAAGTGAGAGTTCTCGTGGTGCTGAGAAGAAAAAGAGACACCCATTTTAGAATTTATATGTATTATTTTCTCCTTTTCGACTTACGACCTGGTCGTCGGGACAGAACCCCGTCCTAAGTCGAGGAGAGACAGTATAAATGAGCATAGGTGTATCCCTTCAACATTACATTACAAAACATTTTAAAATATGGAGTGAGAAAGCAGAAAGGTGTGGGTGAATAGAGAGATGGAGTGGAAAAGAGTGGTAACATGCACCAGTGTTGCCAAGCGATAAGCTCCTCAACAGCTGATCTTTTAATTCGCCTCCATGCAGTCACACAACAAGACCCTCACTGGATGCTTGTTGTCTTAATTCCCGTGTGTGTGTGCACGCGCAGTGGCAGCATTATGTTCGTGTTAAAAAAAAAAAAATAAAAAAAAATAAAAAATTTTTATGGGGATTTTCCCACCCGGGCAAAGGTCACTGACCCACATCGGGGCCTGGGGGGGGCGATAATGTAATAATATTAATACTGATAATGATAATAATAATAGAGAACCATAGAGAAAAAAAAAAAAAAATCAAGAGTGAGAAACAATATATGTATGTTGTGTTGTCAATGGTAAGAGAAGCAATTGAGACCCTGCAATTATGTGTAAATGAGGTAGAAAGTCAGATCAGCAACCTGGGACTTGGTCACAATTTTTGTGATGACATATGTTCCTTGACTTTTCCATTTTTTATTCACGGTCTCTGTGCTGGTTCATATTTATTTACTACAGTGGTTAATGTTTTAAAGCAAATTCTATTGAAATACGAATAGCAAATGAACAAAAATGAATAGAGGGAGTTAAATGAGGTAGGTTAGGGAAAGGCACTTTGAAAATGTATGTTTTATTTCAGTAGACTTTATGCACTATTAACCGACCTTTCGGATTATCCGTCGGTTAATCGAGGTTTTACTGTACCTGTATAGTGATTTAAGGTCGATTTCGGGGATTTTTAAGAATGTTTCTGACTTTATGCATTTTTTGGCATTACTTTGTATGTACTTTTTCTGTGAGTTGGAACCAATTATGTTTGTTAATCAAGGGACCACTGTATTATTTTCGACTTACGACCTGGATTTGGGTCCCTAACCCCGTTGTAAGTCGGGGAGGAGCTGTACCAGTATTCTTGCTGACACAAACTGTAGGAGCATTGAGGCTACCATTATCCATGAACAACTACGTTGGACTGGCCATGTTACCCGCATGGACCACAGTAGACTGCCAAAGCAGCTACTTTACAGTCACCTAATGAATAGTAAATGTAACGCCGGCGGTTAATTGAAAAGGTATAAGGATAGTATTAAGACAAACCTGAAAAAGTGCCAAACCAACCCCTCACCTGGGAGGCGATTACTCCACATCTTAACGCTTGGAGGAGCACCACACGAGAAGGTGTCAATACTTTTCAAGTTAGCCCGACTACAAACCGATGCAGACAAGCGCCAACGCCGGAAAGATGCTGCCACAGCCCCTCCCGCAGTAGATGGAGCCCTCCACATGTGCAAAGAATGTGAATGACGCTGTGGGTCCCGTATGACCTCTTTAGTCACCTCAAAACTCACCAACCAAGGTGACATCCCTAATACTTTATATCATTGTATCATAGGTGTGTGTAATAATAATTAACGGTTTATTGAAAGAGCATGGCAGCCGGAAGGCTGAAAATATACAGTTACATAATTGGGGAATGGGTCTCTTGATTTACAAATGATATACAAGTAACATAAGGGATACAAATATGATATATAATTATTAGGTGTTGATAATTTTTACAATGGTTGGGACTGGACTGTTCTTATTGCAATCAGTTAGTGCTCGTATGGGCTGGATGCGGTTGGAAAGGTGTGTTGCCACATGGCCAGGACAGTAGCTTGGGGCAATGCAAGTGTGTTCCATCCTTCAGGTTAGGTCAGGTGAAGCCGTGAAGGTCAGGTCAGGTCAGGTTAGGTCAGATCCAGCCACACATAAATCCCGGTGTAGTAAGGCTGGTAGGGCGTTGGGATATAGCAGGGAGAGAGGGGGGGGGGCAAACAGACCAGGTCTGGCTGCTCAAACTGGGAGCGCCTTCAGGGCATGTCTTGTCTCGCTGGTGGTTGACAAGTGTGTGTGTGTGTGTGTGTAAGACCAGAGGAAGAGGGACAGTATTTTGAGAGTGGCAAAACAGCTGAAAAATGCCGGAGAACCAATGTCAACGATATATATTAAAAGGATGTCTGCCCAGCCGTGAGGAAGGAGGTAGCACGACTTCGGATGCGGGGACGGGAAGAAAAGGAGAAACCTGAAAACGTTGGAGTGAATATATATTATGAATATATTATGAATGGAAGAATCGAGTGTTGCGGAGGGACGGCGTCATCATAGATAAGTATTCACCTCGTTTTTTCTAACTAGTAGACAACATGACGCTGTTTACAAGTTAAAATTGTGTTCATGGAATATCGGCGGACTTAAGGATAAACTTCAGGAGCCAAATATTTTGAAATTTGTTATCAATTTTGACATAATTTGGCTATTAGAAACAAAGAAATACTTCCAATTGAGTGTATCTGGATTTAATGTTTATACCAATGTATCAAAGGAAGGCCATCACAGAGGAGGAGTAGTGATGCCTGTTAGCTGCAAATTATCAGAAAACATCTCTTGTGTAGACACCGATACTGAAGGCCAGATCTGGGTGGTGATGTCGGGGTCACCGAGCCTCAAGCTAGGTGGACTGTGTACATACCTCCAGAGGATTCACCGTATTACCAGCCATCGCACTACGGTGCACTGTGGGACCCGGAAAAATGATCGCAATCAGAGATTTCAGCGGGAGGGTTGGAGAGCCGCACATCACGGATGAGAATGGTGACATATGAGTACAGCGGAGTATGGGGTTATACTGTCAATAACCATGGCAGAGCACTGGTAAATACTGTATGTGTATCAACAACTGTATGGTTGTAGCTAACAACCTAACATGTAACGGAAAGCAATTAGAAGGCGATTTATTATTTAAACGGAGGGATACGTGGATATGTGAAATTGACTTGTGTATCACAAAGGATGAACGCATAAAATTAATTGAAGAACTGGTTGTGTGTCAGGATGTTGGAGGCTCAAACCACGCCCCACTCTGCATCACGTTAACAAGCGACAACAATAATCCTGTGTCAGCGGCCAAGCTGTTAGAGAGGTCATCAGCGTTAGGACATTCATACTACCGACCACCGACACACAACAAATTATGGAAGAGTCTGTGTCATCAGGCAATTGACACTGAAGAGATAGCGAGTGCACTATGGGACGTGGAACCACCCACGTGACTGGTGGCGAAGACGTCAGAGCAACTATCTCAGAGGGATGTCACATCATCATGAACACAGCTAACAGGTTCGCCAAGCAACAACCAGGATATGGAAACGTGTGGAACGAGGCTCAACCACGATGGAAAAGATTATTGGATGAAAACGATTGTTTCTGTTTCCAAGCAAATTATTGGTCATTTTGAAATATATTTTACATATTGACAATATATAATGCAGTGCAGTGTTGATTTAAAGAAAATAATCTTGAATTACACCAAGAGAACTAAAATTTTATGGGTGAAATGGCGCCATGGGGTGACTTCTTTTCCACCCCAATGCCTTCTCTTCTCCCTTCTCCTCCACCCCCATTCTAATTCCCATCATCATCATCATCATCATCATCATCCAGGAGCCTTCTACATACACACCTCAAAGTGTACTTTTCTACCTTTTTTTGTTGAATTTAGGCAATTTTCGGTGAGCTGAAACCAATTACCCAAAAACCCATTGAAACAATGGTTTCGGTTAACGAGCAACCTTCTAGAACGGATTGTGCTCGTTAACCGAGGCACCACTGTATTTACTAAAATGGTAAGGAATTTAAGTCCTAGAACCGATTACTGTATTGGCGGACTAACACTACAGCTAGTTAGCAGGCGAAAACATGTTGAGGGGAGCTCGTAAGGAATTCGTTAACCGAGGGTTTGCTCGTTAACCAAAGTGAAGAATCTTATGGAAGGTAATTCGTTAACCGAAATTTCGTTAACCGAGGCGCTCGTTAACCGAGGGATCACTGTATAGTTAAGTTTGAAATTGCTCCTTACATGTTATGTTTTGATTTAAAATATTTTTTTGGACAAATGTATTTTGAATTCTTTATATTTATTTACCATGTATTTATACTTTTATCAATAAACTACTACTACTACTCTGTGTGTGTGTGTGTGTGTTCAAATTTACTAAGTTAATTACTAAATTTATTAATCTTATTGGAAAGCTTGGTAGAGAATTTATTAAGGACCATGCAAACCTACCCCCCAAAATGGTTCTCTGCTTCTGTCAACACACCAACACCACCTATACATCACACCCACACACACCCTCCACAACCACCCCCCCTCCCCCACACCACTCACACACCCCCAGCACATCTGCGTGTGTGACTGCATGGTCACTTCTACTGTACATACAATACATAACATTAAATAAAAGCTACATACAGTATTTTTACGTTAATTTTACTACATCTACAACCATCGTTAGTCAAGACTTGAATGTACATAAAATCAATACAATAAGCTCTAATACCCACACATTTCATCCCAAATATTGATGGATAATTGTGCTTTGGAAAAATCCGTAAATGGCAACTGGAAGCTAATGTGAATCAGTCCTGTCCATATGGTAGGAGATACCAACTGCACCCTCCCCCCCCACCAAGAGATCACTACACGTACCTGTATTAGTAGTTCATGAAACACAAGTCAACTTGTGGCATGATGGATGACTCATTAATGAGTAATACGGTATAAAATCAGAAGATTTTCAGGGAATTTTTTTTAATATAAGTACGTATACAGTATTTATGAAAAGAATACAAATAAATATAATGATGGACCAAATTGGACCATCCAACTTCTTGCAATTTATAAATCTATTAATATTTCTAATTTCCATTAATTTTCAATAATGTATGTTATAAATTTCAAGAAAAGGGCCCTAGCCATTAATACCAAAACACACACCTCTAACATTTATTATATTATATATTCTCGTATGATCAGCCACTTATGGTGTATGTTTTATCATTGATGATATAAAATATTAAATACTGTGCTACAACATGTACAGTATAGAAAAATGACAAAATATTGAGTCATGCTCCCGGGTCCTCTGTGTAGGAGGTTTGAGGAGGGAAGGAGGGAACTGACTGCACACCCCCCAAAAAGGTTCCTGCCTCTCCCCTACTCCTCCCCATGGCTGCCATTCCCATTGTAAAATGTTTTACTTTGTTTTATATTTATTAATTAATAAAGATATGTTTACTGTATTAATCTGGCCTTATTAATACCTGTACCCTTCACATACAATAAAGTACATTACTTTTTTATAATGTATCAGCACTGTAATGATTAAATAAAAAACAATGGTAAATTTGGCAATGGCTAAGCTTATCAGCCACCGACCCTCCTCCCAGTGAAGAGGTCTGGGTGAAAAAAAATGCCTTATGATTCCGCTTATGTAAATTTGATGTCAAATTAATAATTATTCATCAAACGGCTGTCATTGACGATACAATATTGCTTATTTATTAATACCACAACATCACACCCTAACACCACCCATGTACCGCCATATCGTATGACATAACTTTATGCGTGATTAACTACGTGGTGATGAATTAAAAGATCAGCTGTTGAGGAGCTTGGCAACAGTGGTACATGTTACCACTCCTTTCACCATACCTTTCTGCTTTCTCACTCCACATTTTAAAATCTTATGTAAAGTAATGTTGAAGGGATATAATGTGGTAAGTGTAAGTGTAAAAATACTGTATTTTAGCTTTCAAGTTTATTCAAGACATCTTCTGGTCCACAGACCCACTAATCCCCCACCCGACAATGGGTGACCTGACATTGTATCAGGTCAGTAATATGAGATCACTAATACCCCACCCTACCTCCACCTGACGTTGTGTCAGGTCAGTTACACGAGACCCACTACTCCCCCACAGCTCCAAGGGAGTGGAAAATACCAGTCCTTGCTCTTACACACAGCTCCATTCATGACCATGACCATAGATTTTTAGTTTAGACTCTTGGAAAACTCCCCAGCAAACAGAAACATTCTGAGGATGTGGGCTAGTGTTTGTCTGTGCAAGATACATAGTTTAGACACTCGGAAAGTTTTTCCAGTAACTGAAAATATTTCCAGGGATGGGGGATTTTTCCGGGTTTGTGAAAGTCGTCTGGTTTGCCGGAAATCTCTCATCCCCGGAAATGCTCTGCACCAATTGTTCCGGTTAAAGGGAATATCACTGTATATAAAATTAAATCATTTTGTATTGGTACTCATCGATGGGCAGAGGTGGTGGAGCGAGTGTGTGGTGGGCAGTGAAGCGGAGGAAGTGGAAGGCAAGAGGGGAGGGGGAGGGGAGGGGAGGGGGAGGAGGGGAGGGGAAGGGAGGAGGAGGGAGGGGAGGAGGAGGAGGAGGGGAGGGGGGAGGGGAGGAGGAGGAGGAGGAGGGGAGGGGGAGGAGGGAGGAGGGGGGGAGGAGGGGAGGAGGGGAGGAGGAGGAGGAGGGGGAGGAGGGGGGAGGGGGAGGGGGAGGAAGAGGAGGGGAGGAGGGGAGGGGGAGGAGGGGGAAGGAATGGGAGTGGAGGAGGAGGAGGAGTCACTGAGACTCGGCAGCTGCCTTCTCTTCCAGAGAGAGCGTAGTGGGCAAGACGAGAGAGGGTGATGGGCCGTAAAAAATAGTCCGTGAAGACGCAAAAACAAAGTTCAATTTAGTCGTCGGAACGTTATCCAAATTATTGGTATCTAAAGAGTAACGACGTTGTACCAAAACAACGTTAATCGGGGCGACGTTATATGAGGACTTACTGTACAGTATTCCCTTATTTTCCATAGGGAAATATGTTCTATTCAATTGATTTTTTATAAACACAAAGTTTTTGAAGATTGCAATCCTTGTGTAAATAAAAGGCTTACTGTACTGGCAACTGAGAATTGAAAAATCAAAGAATGATAGACGAAAGAACAGATTCTGTTGGTGGCATCTGCGAAAAACAAACCACTCAATAATTCTTTAATTCAGTTCCATCAACTTACCTTTGAACTGTTCATGATTTTCTGTTGGGTCAACCTGAAGGCAGGTTATAAGGTCTGGTAAGATGAGCTTGTATGAATAAGGGAAACACTGGAACACTTGATTCAGAGTGTTCTGGCTTTTGCTGCGGACCTGTAAAGTATAAGAAACTTATCTATAACTCATGATTAAACTATATGGTGCAAATAAGCAAAGTAATAAATGAACCTTAGGGTAATCTGTTTTGCCATTTGGTACAGTATACCATTAATGAAGGAAACAAGTAGCTACTATTATCAACATACTTCCATATTAAGAACTGTCACCGTAACTGCCAAAGGAAACTGCTTGACAGCAAAGCGAAGCTACCCAAAATAGTTGGGTTGAAAGTTGGAAGTCTGAATTAGAGACAAAAACCTCCTCCCCAAACCTACCCTACTTCCCTGACTGCCTACTGCAGATTGTACTCTTCTACTTACTTCACTGTATTGGCTTGTGGAGAGATGCAAAAGGCTGCTCATGATAGCAGTACTGGTGGCTGTGAGATGCATTATACTATTTTCCAACATGCGGCTCTCTTGGTGTAGCACTGCACGTTCCACGAGCAAGGATCTTATATGTTGTTTGTTTCGGGCTAACTTGTTGGCTAGTGCATCCTTGATGAACTGGAAGCTTTTCCATCGTGCATCGAAGTCATCTCTGGACACACCATGGAAAAATATCAACCCATGGTATATCTGAAACCAATTGTATTATTAAATAAAGGAATAATCACTCATTTCAATTATCCAATAATTACAATACTACAGGCATCCCGGGTTACTGAAATTCGCTGTGACGGATTTTGTAAATTCTGACCCAATAAATTCGGGATAAGGACAAAAAATTCACCTTTACGGAAATTGGGTAAATTTTTAAGTTAATCTTCTTTTTTAATACTATTAGAAAAAATTCACATTAATTATAAAATTTATTTCGTGTGGATTTCTTGGTGGTTGCTACAATACTGTACAGGGCGAGGCAGGAACCAGTAGTGCCCTTCCGTCTCCCTCCCAGTAACTCCGATTGCACCACCTCACCTAACGCAGCACTCAACATCGTTTGTGATAAGTTAAATTCAAGTGTTTTATATATTTATTATCATATTATATCATAAAATAATCAATGTATGTATTAAAAAAGCATTCTTTTCATTCATAAATGTGCTTGTATTACGTCTTTTTGACAAAAATATTTCCTTGGGAACGCATCTCCAATTAAATAATGGGAGTCAATGGGAAAATTGGTTTCACTTTTCGGAATATCATGTTACGGACAAATTTTCAAGGACACATGTCTTCTGTAACCCGGGGGATGCCTGTACTTTGTCACTGACATTCTCTACAGAGATTAAAGGTTTAAGTCATTTCCATTCTTTATTTCCCAAACCACTCCATCAACAAGAAAAATATACACTACTCACATTAACTGCCCGACACAGTGATTTTGTGTCATCAGAGCCCTGGGAGAGCAATTTGTCAACTAATTCCAAAATGACATCTGCAGCAGCTTTGCGGACATTTGAAGGGAAGTGTTCAGAGTTGAGATTTACACACAATTCCCTCTGTCTATCCATGAACCTGTAGTCATCCTTCTTGACAGCCATATCTACCCTAAAAGCAGATGAAAAGTTAGGACATGCATTTAGTTCTAAGACCTGTGCTTAATACATAAATAAATATCACTATGGTGAAGGCAAATTTTAAGCTTATAAGAATTTTGCAATCAGTTCATGATTGAATTCAAATACGACTTACACTACTTATACCAAAATAAGTGTTTTCATGTAATGCCACTACATTTATTACTCTGATCTGACAATTTCTGTGATCATATCAATTTTCAAAGACACCAAGTTCATTTCATAATAATCATACACAAAATCCACCCTCCAGAATAACAAATGAATTCCTTACAAAGGTATAGGTTCTTCATCCCAGTGAGGCAGAGCAACACCAGCTCCTGATAATATATCCAAGGTGATGGCCAAACTCTGCTGCAACACCTCTCTGTAAAATGAAAAGGAAATTTGCAGTTAAGAATAAACTACTTTCGGTAGTTCTGTTACTATTCTAGAGTTTTCAGCAGCCATATAAAGAAAATTCGTTGTAGTTTGTATTAGCCTAAATTAAACAAAGAACAATCTTAGATGAACAGGCACCTGATAACGTCAAGCACTGCAAAGATGTCTCTCCAGCTGAGATTTTCCTGAACCTTTTAACTAACCTCGATACTTCCTTTTCTCCCTTCGCCACTTGATGCAAGAGAATGAGTTCTGGAGTAAGGAATGTACGAACAAGGGTCGTCATTGCGGCCTCCTCAACCTCACCAGGCTCCATCCATGTCAGACCAAGATTGTATATATCACCAGCTTCTCCCCAGTGCTGTTCAGAATTACAGAAAATAGAAAAAAAAGGACTAACATGGGGGTAATTGCATGACATAGCTCATGAAATCTGATAGTACAGTATACACTCCTCGCCATTGCATTATGAGCGGGGTCGTGACGGACATAAACAAGATGAAATATTAATAAAAAATTAATCCGAGAAGTTAACACACTTCCGGTAGTCTATAGGCCTCCCTTTTCTCTTGATACAATCCTGCAGGCATGAAGGAACTGACTCTGCCAAGTTGTGGATTATTTGTGGGTCTTAATTATTCCACTCCTCACGAATGGCTGCCTCCAGCTTGGGGGCGGTATTTGTGTTCTTGCCTTGTAGACGAAACTTGATAATGATCCACTTATTTTCTATTGGGTTAAGGTCAGACAAATTGCTTGGCCAATCACTTATGAAGTCTACCTGACAGTCAACAAGCCATTGTATTACATATTTTGCTGTGTGACAAGAGGTACCATCCTGCATAAACACATCAGTGCGGCATTTTCAAAAGACCCGGGCAAATAATCATAAAACAGCCCCAAGTAGTTAAATTGGTTCATCATCACATTCCTAGGTAGCACAAGATCACCAGTTCCAAAGTACGAGAAGCAACCCCATACCATTAGTGAACTGAGTATGCTTAACTGTGCTAAAAGTGAACTTGGGGTCAAGCGAATCACTCCCTGGGCACCTGTAAACATTAAAAGTAAGACTTCCAGTAAAAGAAAACGTTGCCTCGTCACTCCACAGCACGTGCTGCCACTTGGTCGTATCACACTGAGCGTTAGCCTTGGCAAAAGCGACCCTATGCTGCCTCTGGACAAGGGTGAGGAGTGGCTTCTTGCGTTCGCGGTGGCTGCGAAACTGCAGGTCGTCACGGATGTGGCAGTGAACGGTCCTTACAGAAACATCACCTAGAGGTACAGGGTTTTTTTACTATCAATTCCCATGCTGACAGACGTGGATTAGCATCAAGTTGCCTCTTAAGAACAGTTAACGTGCGTTGGGAAGTTTTTTGAGTCTTCCCTGGCTGTACGTTGTGCAATGGTATTGCCAACCCGCCGTCATCTCGAAATCGTTTGATCCAAATCTGAACTGATCATTCACTCACACCAACAATTCATGATATTTCCTTTACAGGTTTTTTGCCCTTATGCAGACTAATAATTGACACTATCTGCTCTTTTGTTAAATCTTTCCTCTTTCCCATTTTGGTAAAAAAAATAAAAATAAACAACGGGCGTTGTGGCAATAAATAGGGGCAATGTCGGGGGTGGAACTCATAAATCTTCGTTCACAAAATTTACGCGGGCAACTGGTGAACTTTTTGATTGCTGGCTGACTTCCTTAAGTCTCCCTTCGCTGCCAGACCTACAATGCCTGCCTCAGCCCCAGCTGGCTGATGTGGAGGGGTGTGAGACACTTCAGCAAAGATCACTTCCAATCGGCCACCTCGTGTATAATGCAATGGAGAGGAGTGTACAAGTGATCAAACAAATTTATGTGCAAAGCAATGGTCTTCCTCTTCCATAACAAAGCCTGAAATATCCATCTTGTTTACCCATGTTCCTTCATGCATGTTAGCATCACCCACCAGCAGCATGTTAGCATCATCACGTCTTTCCCCCCCAAAAAACCTTAAAACAAAACTCCATTCATTCATGTACACTGCTGCTTCCTGATGGTCCATGCCCCTCACTTCTTGGTGTTCTCTCTCCCTTTTCCCATTCATCTCTGAAATATGCACTCCTTCTAACAGCTTTTCACTTTCCATTCTCTCAATATGTTCATATCACCAGAGAAAACTCTGATCCACACTCTCTACCAGGCACTTCTTTCACTTCCACATCTCCTTATTTCTATATTTCTTATTCTATGCATTCTATTCACCTGACCTTTTTTTACATGCAAATACATAACTTCTTGTGCTTCTAATTTGCTCCTTCCTTTAATATCTGGAGTCCATGCTTTACATTCCCCTAGTATTCCTCATTCACATTTTGCTTAATATGAAACACATCAATAGGGAGTAACATCTAATAAATATTTTACAACCCTTTAAATCACAGACAAAAACTATGTAGTATGAAGTCATCAGTTAAAACTATAATTCAAGATTTTACCCGTATTGGTAGAGAGTCAGCAATTGGTGTATCCCATTCATTTGGCATTGAACGATACTCTGAAGGCATGGTGATACCAAGATACTTCAAGAGGTATCGCAGTACAGAGCCAGCAAGGTGATATCCTTCTCGACTCTTGAGATGAAGTGTTTGGGTTAGCACCTGGGTAATTTGTGGCACATATTTGATTAGGTGGGAACCACTGCAACGTACCAGCTGTAATAAATATCTTAAATTAATAAAGAATACATATACAGTACATATATCAGTGGCATACCGTGGTTGCACTGGTGAGGCATGCAGAACACCACATATATCAGTTATCAAATCAAATATCAAGTAGAATATGGCCTTTCTCTAAATAAGGGTTGTCAAGCATTTATAAACACCAAATTTCTTAAATTATATCAGTGGCACCTGACAAAGTATCTATTATAAATCATTAAAATAATGGGTGCAAAAATACTTATGGCTAAAGAATATTAAACTTTCAGTGTGATCTACAGTAATTTCGAAATAAAGTAGTTAAAAAAAATACTAGGCATCATGCACAATGCTGGCCCTCTGTAAAGTTGCCAAAGATCTTATTGCTGAACAATTAAATAATTAGTAAATATTTTTATTTAAATGATCCAATTATTATTTCAAGTAAAACAGAAAACTGAATAACTTTCCCAAGTGAAAAAACTATAACTGAAAGTGGACTGTAGGGTTATTTAGAAATATTAAAAATAATAATGTGGACCAGTTTTGTCCGGCTGACGGAGAGCCGCCACCGGTCTACATAGCCTCTCGACAAGTGAATGCAGTTTTTAAATTGCATGCATTTGCACCCATTACATTTACAGAAACCTTATTAAATAGCCACTCTTATGGAACAACAACTCTTAGGTAATATAACATCACCGTATAACATGAGACTTAATGCTTATTAAGGGAAAAAGTATTAAATTTGACTAAATTGGCTCAAATTCCTTATGCTCTAACACAATAAAGTTCATTTTAGCATGTTATTGATAGGATGGTTACGTCTATATGTTCATTGAGGGCATGCGCCTTATCCTTCTGCAAGCATTGAGGGACGCCGAGTCTCCTCGACTTTCCCGAGTGAAAACTGTGAAGACTAAAATTAATAATAATAATAATAATAATAATAATAATAATAATAATAATAAAATAACCATACCTCAGACAACAATAGGAGATTAAACAGAAGCTCATCATCCAAGTGCTCCTCATTCTGTATTTCTTCATTCTCAGTCAGTGCCAATAATAAACGACACACTCCAGGAACAAATGCTTTAAGTGCCTCTGAAGGGTTTACCTGAAAGCCAAAACAGAGCAGTTAGAAAAACAAAACTAAAAGATGCTGGGTTAATCCAAAACACTAGCAATTTGCATGGCATTCCATTATAAATTTATTATAACAAGTACCATTGAAAATGGATCATCCCCCCCTCCCCAAAAAAAACTATCACACCATACCTGAAACTTACTAAGTGATTCTTTGGAAACTCACTGAATGAATTCTAATTTGATCTTAAACAGAAGGACAGACACAACATAATTCATATGCTTCCGCCTTACCTTTTAGGGGTGGGTGGGTGTGGGTGTGTGTGTGTGTATGTGACAAGCGCCAATGCAAGAAAGACGCTGCCACTGCCCCTCCCACATTAGATGTAGCCCTCCACATGTGCAACATCTGTGAACGACCTTGCCGGTCCCGTATCGGCCTCTTTAATCACCTCAGAACTCACCAACGTAGGTGATATACTTATTAACTCATACCATTGTATCATAGCTGGATGATCGTCATACTTGATTCCGAGTGACAGCAAGTAGGATCTCAAGTTTAGCAAATTTTAGATTCGCGATTCAAATGTTTCGCATCATTTTAAAAATTTCCAGCCTCTCAAGAATGGCGATTTTCATTACCAAGTTCGTGAGTCATTGTTCAGTGGACAGTGCGCATTGTCACGGTCTTTTGTTATCCGTCGACCCGCCGAGAGTTTTTTGTTTATGGAGTAACGGCAGTTAGTCTGAATGACCGAGCGGTGCAGTGACCTTGGATTATATAACCCATTGTGCTTACGTTTCATGAGATTCTTGTTTAACTATTACGATTCTTGTGTATCTGCGATTCTTGTGTATTAGTGATTCTTGTGTATTAGTGATTCTTGTGTATTAGCGATTCTTGTGTATTAGTGATTCTTGTGTATTAGCGATTCTTGTGTATTAGTGATTCTTGTGTATTAGCGATTCTTGTGTATTAACGATTCTTGTGTATTAGTGATTCTTGTGTATTAGCGATTCGTGTGTATTAGTGATTCTTGTGTATTAGCGATTCTTGTGTATTAGTGATTCTTGTGTATTAACGATTCTTGTGTATTAGCGATTCTTGTGTATTAACGATGAGTGAAGTTCAAAATGTAAATAAATGTTGGGAGCGGTTCTGGTGGTAATGATGGCTGTAGAGAAGGTCAACAAGGAAAGCCCCAAGCCTAGCGTGACTACCGTAAGGGGGTCTAGAGGAGGAAATACACCCTTGAAATGAAACGAGAGATGCTTGAAATGATCAAAAGTGGTGCTCGTACCTGTGAAATCTTGCATAAGTTACACTGTCCCGAACCAACTATACGTTCCCCTAAGAAGAACAAGGAAGCCTTAACTGCTTCTGTGAATGTATTTCAAGATTTTCTAGTAGCAGGACATTCTACGATATTTCACAATGAAACCAACTGTTAGTTAACAGAGAACATTACCTTCACAAGTGGGTGGAAAGAAGAAACTGTGAGTAGGGTGACCTGTCTGGGCCAAAGATAAGGCATCAGGCACGTGTTTATTATGCTGCAGTTGCACAGAAGAATCGCGTTAACTCTCCACCACCGTTCAATGCTTCTGTTGGCTGCCTTTAAGAAGCGTTATGAAGTCAAGTTTGCCCTCTACCATGGGGAGAGTGCATCAGCTGATGTCATAGCAGCAGAAAAATATCTACCCGTCCTTCAAGCTCTTGTGAAAGAGGGCGGTTATTGCTGAGACCAGTTCTTCAACTGTGACGAAACTGGCATTTTCTGGAAGCGCTCACCTAAGACCACTTTCATTGCCAAGGATGAAAAACAGGCAAGGGTTGTAAAGACTTCAAAGGACAGGATTACTGTTTTATTCACAGTTAATGCAAGTGGAGATTTCTTGATGAAACCCTTGGTTGCTAACCGTGCTGCCCGTCCTAGAGCCTACCGTCATGCCAACATGTCGCAGCTCAATGTTTATTGGACGTCTAATAAGAAAGCTTGGGATACAACGTCTTTATGCATTGATTGGTTTGACAAGCACTTTGTTCCTGACGGCCAACAGTGCTGCCGGAGGAAGAACATTGACTTCAAAGTGATCCTGGTGATGGATAATGCTCATGGATGCTCTAGGTTTCTAATTGGACGCCACCCTAATGTACAAGTTATCTTCCTTCCTCCTAACACCACATCGCTTCTGCAGCCACTTGACCACGAATTCATCAGTAATGTTAAACTGTTCTACTATCAGTCACTATAAAGACTTTTGTCAGCAGACAGACTTATTAGTCGAGTTACAAAAAATTGAGGCAGAACTCTGACAGTGACCAGACTCTACCAGCTAACCAGGAGGAGGAGGAGACGGTAGACGACCTGACTCCTAGCACCACACCACCCTGCAACAGTGAAGTGTTATCAGTTTGTGAATTTTGGAAAAAATATAATATTAAAAATGCAGTGGACAGAATTGTTGAGGCATGGCATAAGATTAATGTTGCAACAGTGCTACACTCATGGAAGCTTTGGTTCGCTAACTATGAGATAAGTGGGGCAGAACAAACCGCGGCAAGCGGGGGGAGGCAGTCCATGGCGGCAACACTAATGGACACAGTGGAGGCAGTGCGCTCAGTCCCAGCACCGGGATTTTCAGATCTTCAGGTTGAAGATTTGCAAGAAATCGTTGGTCAACATCAGCAGCAACCAACAATTGAAGAAATGTTGGAGGATGATGAAGAACAACAAGAACAGCAACCAACACAAGAGGATGACGTTCAGCCTGGTGAACCTACAACTGAGTTTCTCACAAACATCGCACATCTCAGTGAACAGCTAGAAGAATATGATACCAAGCCACATCCTCGGAACTTTATGTGCTCTGCCCTTGATAAGGGTATGGAGGAATATAAGGGCTTGTACATGTCCCGTGTTAATGCTCGTCAGCAGGCCCTCATTACTTGGTACCTGTGCAAGGCCCAGCCTGTTAATGCTTTGGCAAACATCACTTTAGGAGATGATGATGGCACCACCGATGATGATATTGCAGTGTTGGGTGACTTACTGGTGGCAGAGCTACCTCAAGACTTTGAGGGATTTGATGCTGAGGTTAGAAGAGACGTAGAGGAGGGAGCAGGGAGGAAGCAGTAACCAGCCCTTCCTGCCTTGGAACCCATCAACCAGCCCCGTCAAGCATTTCACTGATTCCATCACGGTAAGTTATCCTACAGTATGAGTATATATAAATATTGTTATCAACAATATGTACTATATAATATGTATGAATACATTACTGTAATGTCATTTTCTTGGTGGGTTGTAGGTCATTATAGGGGGGGTTTGGGTGACAACGCAGAACTGATTAGGCTTATTTAGATGTATTTCAATGTCACTCGTTTCGCGGCGCTAAAACCGGTACCAATTAGTCGCGAAACATGAGATCCTACTGTAGTAGTAGTAGTAGTGTGTGTGTGTGTGTTAGCGAGTTGTCCAGTCTTCTCGGACTATTCCTTGACACTGGGTCATGCAGCTCGTTAACTTAGGGTGTGGTTGTTGTGTTGGCGACAGCTTCTACACCTTAAAAAAATTCACGCTTAGGTGGCCCTTGGGCCGGCCATCCTCAATTTCGAGGGGCAACCATTATTATGTACGAGGTGTGATCCAAAAGTTCCCAGACTGGCTTCATAAGAACTTTATTTTTCAAGATATTACGGTGAAACTTTAGTCACCCTTAAAATATTCTTCAGAGGCCTCAATGCAGTGCTGAATCCCTTCCTCCCACTTCTGGAAGCAAATCTGGAAGTCCTTGTTGGTGAGGCTGGAGAACACCTTTTGTGATGTGTCCTGGATCTCCATTCTGTCCATGACCTTCCCCTTGAGGTTCAACTTGAACTTCAGAAACACCCAGAAGTCACAGGGGACCAGATCTGGAGAGTATGGAGGGTGGGGGACCACTGGGATGCCATGCTGTTTCCAAAGTTCAAGTTGAACCTCAAGGGGAAGATCATGGACAGAATGGAGATCCAGGACACATCACAAAAGGTGTTCTCCAGCCTCACCAACAAGGACTTCCAGATTTGCTTCCAGAAGTGGGAGGAAGGGATTCAGCACTGCATTGAGGCCTCTGAAGAATATTTTAAGGGTGACTAAAGTTTCACCGTAATATCTTGAAAAATAAAGATCTTATGAAGCCAGTCTGGGAACTTTTGGATCACACCTCATATATGTGTGTGTGTGTGTGTGTGTGTGTGTGTGTGTGTGTGTGTGTGTGTGTGTGTGTGTGTGTGTGTGTGTGTTTCGTGACCACAAGTCACCACTTACCCTGACTGCTGATCGGCACATGTTTGCTGCAAATTTGCCTGCAACATGAATCTCTATCATTTTTCCTTTGATGAATGTTTGCAAACGCTGGAGGGCAGCCTGTGGATAGCATAAATATGTTATTTCATTGTAATGTCCTAATAACCATTGCATCACTGTTTTTCCACAAGAAATAAGACAATTACAAAAAACAGTATTTTTTCTATACACTAAAGCTACACGCTAACATTCTTTATCAATATATTTTTTGGAGAAAATTATTTACATACACTGGATCTACTGTATATTCTTTGCAATATAAAAAACCATAGATTAATAAGAATTTTTTTTTGCATGTCCCTTTTAAAGCAGCGACACACTGGGCACTTTCCTCCCAACATGTTGGCCGTTTTTTGCTGGCCGCTGGCCTGACGGCCCAGCAAACAGCAGGATTTTGGTTGTTGCTAGAAGTGGGCAACAGTTTGGCAGCCAGTTGCTGGATGGATTAGTGCTCAATGAGATTCATATTAGGTGTTGAATATTTAAGTAAAAATTGACATGTTTCTATTTATTGGTCACTTTAAAACTTTTTTAGTATTATTAAATCATTATACAGGGTCTTCTTTGACCAGCCAGCCACCGCCACTTGACAAACTTCACGATGGCTTTCCCAGCACCCAAACGTAGCCTTTCTTCGTTCTTCTAGGAAGGTTATTTGGAGATGTGAAGCACAGCACAAATTAATAGAGAGCACTAGGGACTACCCTATTCTATGGGACCAAAGACATGAGCACTTCAGCAAAAAGCTTCTTTAGAAAGTCAAGTGGAAGAACACGACCCTAGAACTGCAACAGGAATTCCCAATGTGAAGAAAACGTCTCTTTTGCTGGCCGGACCGTGTTGGTCCAGCAAGGTTGGGAGGAAAAGTGCTCAGTGTGCCGCCGCCTTTAGACGTACAGTATCATGTTTACTATCGCTACATGTAAGTACATCATGGACATTCAGAGGAAAACCAATAGACAAAAAGTATCAAGCACATAATTTTTTTTATAATTCTTGCTTTCAATGTACTTTCAGCTTTTATGCATGTTTTCCATCATTATTTTTCAGAGCTTCACAGTTACTCTTAGTTTTCCTAGTTTACTGTAAGTTGGATACAAGCTCTACATAGTCACCTAAGTACTCAGGGTTCACAGAAATAGCTTCTAGTGCATTTTACATAACAAAATGAGTGAGAGGAAGGAAGAAAAAATAATAATAGGAGAAACAGACAGACATGAAAATGAAGGAGAAGAGAACATAAATGAGGAAAGGTAAGAGGAAAAAGGAGGGACACAAAGAAAAAAGGGAAGTTGGAGAAAATGAGGAATGAGGAAGAAATTAAAGAATAACTGGAGAAACTGTGAAATTAAAAGGAAAATGGAGGAAAAATAAGAGTAGTAAAAGAAAGGTGATAAGGAAGAAAGAAAAAGAAAAGGTGAACAAATGACTCAGAGAAAATAGAAGACCAAGCCATGCAGCAAGTGGTAAACATATGCCCCACTACTTTTACAAAATTCAATCAAGCAGCATGAAAATAACCTCTTTCTGATCTTGTTCAAAATTTTGTTGCTTATTCTTCTATGAAAGGACAGACAAGCATAAAATCTACACGCATACATAGCGACTTTTAATATTAACCCTTGGGCCCCGGGTGGCGTTCCAGAACGTCCGGTTATTTTCCCGCCATTTTTTTATTTTTTATTTATTACAGTAAAACCTCGATTAACCGACCCTCAATTAACCGACTTTCGGATTAACCATCAATCCCGAACTCCTAATTTTTTTTTTTTTTTTTTTTTACGGGGATTAGCCCACCGGGGCACAGGTCACTGACCCACATCGGGGCATGGGGGGCGATAATGTAATAATATTAATAATGATAATAATAATAGTAATAAAGAACCATAAATAAAGGCAAAAATAAAAAATAAATCAAGAATGAGAAACAATATATGTATTTGTGTTGTCAATAGTAAGAGAAGCAATTGAGACCCTGCAATTGTGTGTAAATGAGGTAGAAAGTCAGATCAGCAACCTGGGACTTGGTCACAATTTTTGTGATGACATATGTTCCTTGACTTTTCCATTTTTTATTCATGGCTGGTTCATATTTATTTACTAAAATGGTTAATGTTTTAAAGCAAATTCTGTTGAAATATGAATGGCAAATGAACAAAAATATAGAGGGAATTAAATGAGGAAGGTTAGGGAAAGGTACTTTGAAAATGTATGTTTTATTTCCGTAGACTTTATGCACTATAAACCGACCTTTCGGATTATCCGTCGGCCCCTTCCCCCTATATGTGGTCAGTTAATCAAGGTTTTACTGTATTATTATTATTATTATTATTATTATTATTATTATTATTATTAGTATTATTATTTGTATTTTATTTTGTTCTCGATTTAACCCCGTGGCAGGGTGTGTGTGTGTGTGTGTGTGTGTGTGTGTGTTTGTGTGTGTGTGTGTGTGTGTGTGTGTGTGTGTACTGCCAGCAGCACCCTAACCCAGGGCTTAAGGGTTAATTATGCCTTACACAATGAGCAGTGGTGGACACGGTTCCGCTAATCTGCTAACCGCTAATTAGTGAAGCTAACTTTCTTGTTAGCGGATTAGTGTTTTCGCTAGCATTGGAAACCATTAGCGGACCAATTAGCTTCCGCTAAATTTAGTTCCGCTAACTTTAAGTCTGCTAACAAAATTTATACATGTTTGTTCCTGTCTGTTGTAAGCGTGTGATGCCGCGACGTGTGTCTCCAACAGCCAGTCAGGCATGCTTGGCTGACTGCGTGTTAGTACGTGTAAACGTGAATGGAATTTTTCGATTATTAAAGTTTAATACTTTTTTTTACAGTAAATAAAGACTGTCAGTGCATGTTCAAGGAATCATAGAATATAATTGTAAACTAATGTATAATTTCATTTCTCATTTATTTGTTAATTTAATTAGGATTTTTTTGTGTCAATATATTTGGTTATGCTAAGTACTGCATAAGTTCATAACCAGGATGTCATCCAAGGTGTGAGCCAAACAAAATTTTCTAAAAACTTATTTTTCATTAAAGTTTAGAGTTTTCTGTTTATTTACATGACTAAGAGCAACAATAAGTTATATAAAAATTCACTGGTATAAAGACTAAGACCAACAATAAGTTATATAAAAATGCACTGGTATAATGTGTATGTGGTTGGTATTGCATATTTACATGAATAATGAATAAGGCCGATAGGTTGTATGAGAATGCAAATTAATTATTTGTGAAATTGTGTACAGTGTACACCTTGATAAGTTGATCATCATCTGATCTTGGCATGATGCTATTTGCTACCTATGCTATACAGTACTATAGTTTTTGGATTCGTTTAATACTTTCTGTCTTTTCGTACAGTAAATAAATATTATAAAGTGTATGTTGAAACTTGAATGTAAACTAATGTTTAATTTCATTTGTTCATTTAATTATTTGTGTACACCTTGATCATCATCTGATCTTGGCATGCTATACCTTTTTGGAAAGCTCTATGTCTAAGCTACAAGACAATATATGAAAATTTCAGCTCTCTAGGTCTGTTTTTAAGGGTTTTAGAGCCAAAAAAAAAAAAAAAACCCAAACCGAAGCTAAATTCATATAATAAAAGTTAGTGGTTAGCGTTAGCTTCCGCTAACTTTTTTAGGTGTTTAGCGTTAGCGAAGTTAACTTATTAGTTAGCACATTAGTGGTTAGCAAAGCTAACTTTTCATTTAGCTGTGCCCACCACTGACAATGAGGTACAAAAAAGAGGATATAAGGAAGGAAACCATGGAGGGGAAAAGACAAATGAAAGTGCAAAAACCAGACTACTGTACAGGTATTTTCTTTTCAACAATACCAGATTACGAGATGACATGAGTTAAGAGGAAATGTGCATTTTCTGGCTGCTGTAGCATGTGTATGACTATGGTATTCCCCTTCCATAACAAGAACTCCAACACCCTATCCACCTTGTCCATCCTTGCTCCTTCATTAATGTATTTACTATATACTGTATATGATACAACTAATTACCTGGTATATCTTTGGGTGTGCCTGAGTGAGGATGGCTGAAAATGTTGAAGAGAGTCCCATCTCAAGCATGTTTTCTTCTCTGTTCATTTTTTCAGTTTCTCTGTCCAACTGAGTAATTTGTTCCAGGGTCGAATTTTCAATCAGAGCAAAACAGCGGTCCATGAATTGTAGGACAAAGTCTTCAAAACCTGCTGTCTGCAAACACACTTCTTGTTCCACCTGCCAGAACAACATTTTTCTTGTTTAATTTTATTACATCACTCTCCCTACAGAAAATAGCAGAGTCCTGTAATCTTTATCTCATCATTAAATTCTTGTCTTATGGACTTACAGGTTCACTGTATAGTTCCTGTTTTGTATTTCTAATAAATACTGTGCTTCATTACACAACATCAACAGATAAAGAACCACTTACTTCTGTCAAATCAGTATATTCTTCAACAGCTGCGGAACAGTCCACAAAAGGTACAAGAGTCACCAATGTGTAGATGAACTGGAATGTTACCTGTAATAAATAAAATATATAAATACAGGTAGTCCTCCCATATGTCTATTGTTATAAGCAAGGTTCATGTGCAAGGGATGTTTTTTGGTCCTGGGAGGGTGGTTTCCGGTCAAATTTTTCTCACCTAAATGTTAATGTTATTAACAGAAGAAAAAAATTTATCTCATCATCCAGACCAAATATTCTGAGGGTAATTGGACTGGATTTTCATACAGAAACATTTAAAAATCACTAACATGAAATACTGTATGTACAAATATATACAATATGAAATACATTACAAAATATGGTAATTTCTAATATTTTGGGATTAAGGAAATATGGGGAAAGAAAGTTTTCCATTTGGATGGAGCGTATATTGTAGGCTTCCTATTGAGAACAGTGCAGAAAGACAACAAATTAAAAAGATCGTGGCTGAGCCATGAGTCATAAGAGCTGGTGTTGGTTAAATAAATGAAATGCTGAAAATTTTAAAATTCAGGTTAGGCATTGGGGATGTATTGGATTGAGGTTTAGTTTTAGCCAACATGTTCCAAAAAGAACTGCACTGAAAAAAAGTCACTGCAAGTGCTACAAGACATACCAAACTCACAACACCAACATTCCTCAGTCACTATCTGTATGGTCAAGTGAGGAATTAGTGTGGACATAAGCTGGGTTGTATAGGGTAATGAATGGCCTCTTGCAAATAGTACAGTATTGCCAACTGAGAGGGTGATCACATGAAAGGCTATAGTCTAGACCAGGGGTCACCAAACTTTTTTCACAGTGGGCCGGATAACTGAAAGAATGACGAGCGCGGGCCACATAATCATTCTGTTCAATAATTGCAAGCCAGAACGAAAGCTCTGGTAACGTCAGAGCGTAGGCGGAGCTACCACGAGCCGGGGAAGGACTTGGGATCCGGCCCGAGGGCCGTAGTTTGGTGACCCCTGGTCTAGACTATAGCCTGCCCACTGGTGAGGTTAATTATCATTACATTTTAGAAAAACTCTTGAAATTCACCATATTCAGCTTATGGATGAGTCAAATGGTTCATAATATAAGTGAGAAATGTTTGACAGCAAACAGTTCAATAACTTGAATGAACTTCAATAAACTTTGATGTTATTTTTTGATAACAAAGAAGTCAACTTAATTTTTATGAAACAGAAAGGAAGAACAAAATTATAAAATAATATCAGTTTAAAATTTAAATCAGTGATAAAATGCAAAGATATTAGTCTAGTGTATTAAAAAAAAGGAGAGATAGACAAAATTTATGACAAATTGAAGGCAAAGGATTAGAAGATAAGATGTCATTTTATAATTTATTTTCATTTCAATAATAAATAAGATAGTAATGAGGTTTTTTGTGATAAGATACCATAACTTTAGGCATCTTAATTCATATGGAATAATAATGCAATTTCAAAATACATGTATAGGGTTAAGTTTTAAAAATATCTCTTACCATGCATTTTTTGATGTCATTAGGATCAATGCCTGGCAAAGTTTGGAGGAGTAGTGGGATGACATGTGTCTGACCTTCAGGGTAATACTTTCCACCCTTGACTAATGCCCGAGCCACACACACCACACACTCTAAAGATGCAGTCAGACGATGGGGCTCCGTCGTTGTCTCCAGTGAAGAGTAGAGCCTAAATCAGTTGATCAACCAATGAGAATAATGTAGATGGTCATGTAAACATAACGACAACATGAACCTTGCAATAAATCTAACAAGATTCTGGTGGAAAACAAGAGGCAAGTGGCAGAAATTGGCAAGGTCAATGATTATATCACTGGGCAACAATTTTTTTTTTGTCTGATATTAAGGGAAATGCAGGTGTTCTTGAGTAAATCTGGTCCACTGATTTCAAATCTGAAGTCAGAATTCAGCCATCACGTCAGGTTTTCAAGTTATGTATATGTATTAATGATACCTGTCATGCTATATTAGACACTTTATGATTGTATATTGCCACATTGTACATCTAACAACAGTGCTTAGTAATTACTTTCACATCATATTTTGATAACAATGATTGATCTCCACGTTTATAATGCGTAGTATACAACTCAAGAACATAAACAAGTTACAGAAAAAGACCCTCATAAAAACTAATTTCAACATATTCAGCGTAAGCACTGCTCGGAAGTGTTCAAAAGTGTATGAGACACTTGCTCTTGCATTTTTGTGAGGAAATAATCTCCCGTTGTAGGAACCAGCAGTAATCACCAGGGGTAAAAATTCACATATGCCCGGTCGCCCGAGGAGACCAAAATATCATAAGGGCGACAAGATTTTACTCTTTTGCTGGTCTGGGATCACCAGATGCGCGAGTGGGCCGATGACAGTGGTAAGACACACTCAGTGTGTATAAGAGCTTCATATAGAGAATACACTATTAATGCTAGGTAAACTTTGTTGCTGTAAAAAATATTGAGAGGTGATGCTGCATCTATCAGGAAATGTGTTAGCTCTACGATGAATTCATACTATGGCGAAACAAGCAGAAGCTAGTTGGCAATGGTACAGATGGGGCCAGCATTATGACTGGGTGCAGAAATGGTTTAGTAGCTTGATTGAGAAGAGATCTAGAGAAACCGTAGTTGGAAGGCATCCATTGCACTGCACATAAAATTAAACTCGCTTACAGGGATGCAGTAAAGGATGTTCCATTAGCCGAAAAGGTTGACTTACTGCTGCTATGGTGAATTTTTACCCCTGAATCACCCATCATGTTTTGGTTGAACCGGCCTTGATACCTAGTTTCCATCACCGACACGTCTTGGTGAACCTTTTACCATGCTCATCGCTTACCTCACCCAGATTAGGTGGAAAGAAATCAAGATGAGAATGCAAGAAGTGCATTTTAAGAGACATCCTACAGCCCATTCGCTGATAGGCCTTTAGCTCTATGGTTCCCAAGAAAGTTCTGCATAACCAACACAAATGCTTCCCATGCTCCAAACTCAAGTGGGTTCAGTTTATTTTTGAACTCGCGATCACACATCAGTTCTCGGATCTGGGGCCCAACGAAAATGCCTGCTTTGAGTTATCAGTTTTCACTGTGCCAAACTTCTCTCTGAGATACAGGAAGCCATTACTGTCATGATCCATTGCCCTTACAAAGTTTTTCATAAGGCCAAGTTTGATGTGAAGCAGTGGAAGGTAATCTTTCTGAGGGTCTACCAATGGCTTATGCTGCACATTGTACCTGCCAACTGTGTGTTATGTCTTTCATGCCAGTCTTTTACAACATAATGGTTGCTGTCATCACGGCTGTTCCATGGGCACAAGAAGCACATATGTTTTGTGTACCCAGCTGCAGTCCTAGGAGGAGAGAAATCACCTTTAGATCACAGCAAATGTTCCACTTATGAGATGAGTATTTAATCACTTTCAGAAGGATTTCCATTGACTCACGTTTCCTTCATGACAACAACATGAGCTACAGGAAGAGAAGGTTTTTTGTTACCTCTGTGTAACAACACAGCTTTGAGGCTCACTTTGCTGGAGTCTATGAAGAGTCTCCATTCATCAGGCATGAGGCCATTAACATCAGAACAGAAACAAACATCATTTTCTATCTTAAAAAAGGCAGCTAAGTTTGTGTGCCGATCACAGAAGAGGGAAATTTTGGTACCTTCCTGTAGGAGGTTCCATTGCTGTTGTCTGGAGCCAAACACTTCTGCCTTCTCCTTTGACAATGACAGGTCTCTCACCAGATCGTTCAACTCTTCTTGATTAAGCAATTGTGGCATCTTTTCCTCAGATACAGGTTAATACAGTTGCTCCATATCAGCATCATCACACTCAGTTGTCATCGCTTTCAACTGCAGCAGCTGCTGGGGGAACTGGCACAGGCAAATCCAAGTCATGGGGGGATCGGTTTCAGAGCAGACTTACAATCCGGATATAAATTGTTGGACTTGTTTTTCTTTGAGAAACCAGCAAGACTTGTCATACAAAAAGCAGCAGTCAGAGTGATGATTCATTGGCTCACACCATACCATTGGCACAGCAAAAGGCATTCCCTTCCTTTTGCCACTCAACCACTGCGTAAGCCCCAAGTTACACATGGTGCCCAGCTCTTGTCTTGGTCTCCAACTTTACTTCCAAAATAATACTTGCAAGCAGTTTTCACTTTGTTGGCAAGGTTCTTGTACTGGTCACGTGGAGTGATTTTCCACAGATATAGCAAAAGTTATCAGGGTGATTCACACAGCCTCGCCTATTCATGTCTGTAGTAACATAGGCCTAACCTCAAAATATACAGAAAATATATTAGGTTATACCCTGAAAAGATATATATATTATTAGCATGAAATAAATTCCAAACTAGATGCATTCTTAAAAGGTATACATTACATTTAAAACCTTTAATATCAAGTTATTAATCAAATTATGCTGGGTTGGTGCTAGGCAGCCCAGTGTAATCTGATCATATGTATAACTTAAAATCCTGACATGCTGGGAAAATTCTGAGTTTACATTCAGAATCAGCATACTTGATTTAGTCTAGACCAGTGGTTACCAAACTGGGGGTGGGGGGGGCGTGAGGTGCATACAGGGGAGGTGTGAAGCCATCTGACAAATTTTGCAATTTTTTGCTCAAAAATATAATGAAGAAACTCTTTCAGGAGTAACTCTCTCCGTCTGAATCTTCCAAACATCCGTGCAAAACCAAAGTATAGCAGTCACCCTTATCTGTTTTCTATCATTTCATCTTTCTCTCCTTACGCGTCTTGTACATGTCATGGATACCATATTGACTCTCACACTACTCGTATCTTTCACAAGGAGTTATCTAATCCTCAACAATACTAAAATATAATTATAATAAAAAATTAAATCTATGTAGATTTTACATATAAAAATATAGGGGGGGGGGGTGAGGACTTGGCAAAATGCAAAAGGGGGAGTCATGTTAAAAAATTTGGGAACCACTGGTCTAGAACATATGTTTTTACACCAGTAGCAAAATCTTTGTTGTCCAGTGAGCAATAAGCAAAGGATTTAGGTTTCAAATCTATCTTAAGTCCTTTAACTTCCCATATGACAGCATTTAACACAATGATTGTTGGCAAGATGATCATGTCTGTAGTATCCTGCAGCATCAATTTATCATTATCATAGATGTAATGGCAGGCTTAACAATCTCTGATGGGAAACAAAGGTGAGGCTACTTTCCATTCTTGAACATGGAATTACAATAACCACAGTCACTCTTACTGGAAGTCGGAGGGGAGTTGATTTATTATGACAGCTGGGCCGGAGTGCAGACAAGATTACCTAGTGGTATTTATTTATCTGTCATATAGGGGGAGTTTATGTTTTTCTCTTATAAAATGTCAATGAATTGACTTAGGAGAATATAATCAACATTGCTGGAATTCTTGTAAGATAGTGATTAATTTAAATATAAACATGCTATAATTTGCAATAGACATAAAAATTTTAGTACATACTAATTAGTACATTTTAGTACAAAGGCCTAAAATTTTTATCTCTTGTGCAAAATATATGATGTATATATTCAAATAATTCGCTGCCTTGCAATGCAATTTATATTCTGCTAACTTTAGACTGTGCCATTTTATATCAAGTTTAGTCACTTATATTGGCCTCCAGAACCTAACCCTATTTTCCCCATTGATTACATGTAATTATATATCGTGATTTAGTATACAGTGGTCCCTCGATTAATAAACGGTTCAATTAACAAAATTTCGGTTAACGAATTAGCTCCCATAAGGATTTTCAGTTCCATTAACGAACAAAACTTCGATTAACGACAACCTTACGAGAAACACGCTTTGTTGTGAGCATCAGCTGATCAGCTAGTCCGCCAATACAGTAATTGGTTCTATGTTTACATTCGTTTACAGTGGAGTAAATATCAAGAAAGTTGTGCTCTTGAATATTTTTGCATTTTTATATTAAAATTATTAGTCATTCTGAAATTTAGTTAACATATTGATAATGTTATTGCCGCTGGCTTATTATCGCTGGTGTCAGTGCTGGCATTTGCTGCATTACCCAAACAAACATTAGATCTCAGCCTGCGACCAAGTGCCCCCCCCCCTCCACGTGGCCTGTTACCTTGCCAGATGTGTCGGCTGGGGGGTTTACCACTGGGAGTGTCATCGCCACTGACGTGTGAGTGCTGGCGTTTGCTGCCTTACCCGAACAAAGATTAGGGGGTGGGCGGTGTTTACGGACAAGAGGTCCTGATTCTGCTGAATGTATGGTTTAAAGGGAGGCGTGGCCGCCTGGACTCCAGGAGATTGCCCCCTCAAGTGATGCTGTGAGGACCAGCCCTCTGCTAGCAGTGATGAACACCGACTCCCAATCCTGGCCGAGTTCTGTGCTTAAACAATTTACACAGTTTTTTTTCCCTTGGAACACCATACTGGTTCGCATTGACCCGCACTTGTAAGTACAGCCAAAGTGATGACGTACTCCTCAGTACTGAAATATTGTGGACTGATTATGCCTACTCGTTCCTGCCTTATCTGGAGCAAAAAGACAACGAGGCATGAAGTGTAGCTAAGATTAATAGAGTTATGAACTTTGTATCATGTCACTGTGCTCAATAATCACTTATAATTAAGATAAATTGTGTGAGACTAACTAATTATGTATCAGATAGATCACCATGTAATACTAATGCACGCCTTGTTCTCTGCAGGTTTTGACCACATCAATAAATATTGAATATGTCAATAGGCGGGTTTCAATCATTCCCTTCGACTTGCCCGTCACCTGAAAGTCCTTAACCAAGGTGTTTACAGATAATATATATACAGTACAGGGAACAGTTTTTGTGTGCCCTTCTACTGATCGAATCACCCACCAACGCTTCTCAGTTTAACTTGGTTTACAGTGGAGTGAACACTGAGTTTGTTGGTCTCTTGAATTTTTTTTTTATTATTATTTATTGGGCACCCCCTACATCCTGTGTAAGGTGAAGCACAGAAGCGTTTACAGTGCCCAACAGGGAAGCATGCTAAGTTCATGCTTGCCTTTATGTCTCATGAGTTAAGGGTGTAGAAGCCTGAAGGGTCAAGGGCGTAGAAGCCTGAAAAGTCAATCGTTTTGTCATCAAGTTATTGGAAGCTCCAACAACTTTCCCTGAATACGAATTCGCAACTTTCGATTTACAACAGGTACCTACTTTACTGCTAGGTGAACAGGGACCAATGGGGGCTAGGAAATATGTCCAAACAACTTTTCCACCGGCCCGGGGTCGGCCCAGTCTCTATTTCAATTAATCCCATATGTTCTGTTACAGGTATTTCATTTACGCGTTTCTCGTTTTAAGCGGGCCTTCACGAATTCAATTGACAGCGTAAATGCAGACTATACTGTACTGTATTTAGTTTATATTTAATGCTTTGTTAATTCGATTCCTGGTATACAGTACTTTGTGTGTATACTTTTTCTGTCAGTTGGAACCAGTTACCCAATATCCCATTGAAATAATAGATTCAGTTAACAAAATTTTTGGTTAACAACCGACTCTGTGGAACCAATTGTGTTCGTTAATCGAGGGACCACTGTATAGCTAACATCCTTGAACCCTACATGGCGATATATCCCGACCCTACTGTACTGTATATATATAACTGAAAAGAATAATTGAATACTATAATTGTAACTGAGCATACTAGATTTATGCTTTAAAACTTGAACACCAAAGGGATTATTACCTATATTAAGACAGACACCAAAGAATGTATCACCTATGATTATGGTTATATATTATTCTTTTCACCTGGCTGGGGTAAATATATGGTGCAACCACCCCAGGTCTTAAAGGGTCAACTGAATACATCAAGAATCTAATAAAAAAGTCAAGAAAACTTAATCCTCATACAAATACCAAAATGATGCAAGGTAAACTCACACACACACACACACAGCAGAACGTCGATATAACCCGAGATATGTTCCAAGAGAGGTCGCGTTAAACCGAATTCGCACTAAATCGAAGTGTTGTTTCAATGGAATAATTTAGTTTGGTACTTGAGAGAAACACAAAATACTAAAAAGACTGAGAGTTTACCCAGATGCACCTCAGCCCATCTCCTAGAATAAACAAAACATTGTTTTTTGCAGTATTATGTTAAAAGAAACACTCGTAAATCAACACAGCTAAAATTAAGGGAAGCAAAATGGTCTGTTTACTGACTGGGAAGATGGGGGAAGGGAGGGAGGTGAGGTGATATGTTTAACAGTTGATGCCAAGGTCTAGTGCTTATTTATTTATCTGTCCTTAAGAGTGACCAAGTTTTTCTCTTATTAAAGGTCACTGAACTGACATGGGAGAATATAATTAACATTGCTGGAATTCTTATAAGATAATGTTTAATTTGAATATAAACATGCTATAGGTCACATTAGACATACAAATTTTAGTTCTAATTTAAGAATCTTAGTGCAAAGAGCAAAATTTTTTGTCTCTTGTGCAAAATATATGACGTTTATATTTAAATTATTTGCTGTCTTGCAAGGATTCCAGCAATAAATTAATATATTCTCCTAACTTTAGTCTGTGACATTATATAAGATAAAAACTTTAAGCCAAACCCTGGCTAGGAAGGGAGGGGGGGCAGGGGGGGGTGACAGTGACATGTTTGTCAGTTGGCGCCAAGGTCTAGAGAAGTATTTATTTGTTTATTTATGTCCTTTAGCTTGAGTTTATGTTTTTTGCTTATAAAATGTCACAAAAGTGACTGGGGAGAATATAATTTACATTGCTGGAATTCATATAAGATAGTGATTAAATTGAATATAAACATGCTATAGTTTGTACTCAACAAAAATTTTAGTAATCATTTAGTACATTATTTTGTGTACATGTACAGTACAGCTTTGCCCTTAGGACAGTGTAGCGTGCCCAGAGAAACATTAGGCGCAAAATTTTAATTATGATGCACCAGATTGACTCACGCAAAATAGGAAAGATTCGCTTTAAATTAAAACATTGTCCTTAATTGTGGGTTTCACTTTAAATCAATAATCTTAAATTGAATGGCTTTAAATCGACATTCTACTGTACACACACTTTTTTAATACTCAAGATTCTAAAATATTTACGGATGGAAAAAGTGACTTACTGTTCAAGCAATGGTGGTATGATGATTTCTGGTCGCAGAAGAGACAGCCGGTGAAACACAATCCCAGCATCATGTGTCCCCGTGTGGGAAAACATTGTGAGCATTGTTGGAGTCTGAACACATCGAACAAAAGCAGTAATCTCTTCCTCTGTTAGTTTCTTATTAGGAGCAACTTCCACTTCCCATGAAGGCTTTTTATAGCGTTCCCTATAAATGAAAAATTAAACCTGTCATCAAAAATTATAAAAAATTAACCTCACTCATTTATTCACCATATTCTTATAAATTTACATATTATAATTATTTGCAAAATTATGAAATAACTAGAATTAATAACATAAAAAGAAAAAATTAGAATGAATACTAATCAAAGTTCCAGTATTTACAGGTTCAGTACAGTACAAGATTGAATCTCTCAGAGTACATTATAACAGTATAATGTCTCCCAAGATCTTTACTCCTCTCAGCAATGTTTTTTTTTTTTTTTTTTACATGGAATAGCCCACCTGAGTACAGGTCATTGACCCACAACAGGGCCTAGGGGGCGAAAAAATAAGAGTACATATAAAAAGAAATTAAAAATAGAAAATATTTCTTTTATTAATCTACACCACGAAGATGCCGGAAAACCAGCTTTTTGAAGTGAAACAGATTGTAGGAATATGGAAACACAGAAGAGGCAGAGCATTCCACAGTTTGGCTGTGTGAGGAAAGAAGGGGGTACTATAACGGGTTATTCTCGTGTGACCGACATCCACAGAGAAACGGTGGGCACCGTGGGCAAGATGTGTGTTACGAGCCCACGGCCTTGCCAGCAGTACACAGGATGCCAAATCCACCGAACATTGCCCGTTAAAGTACAGTAATATCTCATATTTCGCACGATTTCATTTCGCGAGCACTACCTAATGTAACCAAGTTTTATATTTGGCGTAAAATATAGTGAATGCTGGCCACCGTCTTGAATGACGTCACAGCCATCATACTAGTTACAGTCATTTCTGCTACAACGTGTGTTTTGTCAATGTGAATTGATTGCAACGCGATTGATGAAAAGGGGAACGCTGTTTGTAAAATGCAAACTTTTGCATACGAATGTTGGCTATACAGTTAACCCTCACTTTACGCGGTTAATGTAACCCGGAGGGTCCTGCGTAAAGTGAGAAACGCGTAAAGTGAATAACATAACATATGGGATTAATTGAAATGGAGTCCGGGCCGATCCCCAAACTCCACTTTTTGACGACACACTACTATGTTGTAGTAAAAATATTATCTTAACTTTATGATGGTATGCACACACAATTAATAATTAAGAGAAATATCAATATTATTAGGTTTTTTAACAGTTACATTAGTAGAAAAATGGCTGGGCACACGGGGATGGGCGGTTGGTTCCGAGGCAGAGGGCAGATTATTGGCCCTCACCTGTATCAATTGTATCACTATCCACCACAGAGGCTTGCAGGGCCTCTTTGTCAAACTCCCCAAAGTCCATATAAGTCCATATCCTCACCATAATTATCACTGTCACTGACTTGGGCCAGCTGTGGTGGGTGGCGGGTAAAGAACTGGTAATGTTTTGATGACTGGGCGACCTTGTGCGCACCATGTTCGCGCCGCTTACACAACATGGCGGATGGCGGGAAGTTTGGATCCAAAAATGGCGCGGCTCGCCAGCCACTCTCCGCGTAAAGGGGTACACGCACCGCGGAATGTGAGCATCCTGGGTTCCGGCAGGGCACTGCGTAAACGTGGAAACGCGGAATGTGGGACCGCGTAAAGTGAGGGTTGACTGTACAGTAGCGCGATTCCATCCTCAACGTTTTAAGCGTGGCGTGGGGTTATGCAATGTTTACAGTTCACATTCGACATCACACGTTCAATTGATTCGTGTCTTTTGTTTGTGAAGTGTTTTTTTGAGAGGTACTCTGTATTTATTTATTTATTTATTTATTTATTTATTTATTTATATTTTTTCCAAATTTAGCTGTTACCCATAAATACTGTATGAAAAGAATAAGTAAAAAGAATGTTTCGCAGTGAGGACTAATAACGGTTTACACCAGCGCTCTCTGTTTACATCACGTGATCAGTTGAATAGTGCGGTTTCTGTCAATTACTCCGTGATTTTCGCTATTTTCTCCAATTTTGTTGTGTTAACGATGAATACGGAAAGACAAGGTAAGAAGAATGTTTCCAAGAAGCGTTCTGGTGATTGAATTGCCGGTGGTGAACGTATAAGAGGTCTACAAGAATGCAACTGTCAGGTTGTAGCCCGCATCATCCTAGCGACCGCCCTGGCTGTTATTGTGTGCTTTTATGGGTGGTGCTACCACCTGTCGAGTCAAGATAATGGCCTCTACCTCTACTGGGGGTCCTGCTGGTGGGGGTGGGACAGACCCACCTAAGCGGCCAAATAAGAAAAAGGAGAAGCAGGACTATCATAAAGGAGTTAAGTTTGCCAAGTACTCGATGCAGGATAAGCAGCGTGTGATTAAATTACTTGAGGAAGGCCTAAAAACTAGTTTCCGGAAAGCACAATCAAGTCAATAAAGGCAGAATTTGTATCATTTGTAGGTTATAAATGGGAAAATCAGAGGTTGATGTAGAGTGGCCAGTCTATATTGTTATTTTCCCCATTAGTTTATGTATTTGCATTTGGCACAATTTGAATTTGGTGCAATTTTTCCAGTCAATATTACTCGCAAAATACAAGATTTTACTGTACCTGTAAAAGAGAGAGAGTGAAGCAAAGAGAAAGGGAAGAAAGACTATCAACTAAAGGAGGAGAGTTAATAAGAAGAAATGCCTTTGATTCCACCCTAGGGAAGAAAGACTATCAACTAAAGGAGGAGAGTTAATAAGACGAAATGCCTTTGATTCCACCCAAGGGGAGAAAGACTATCAACTAAAGGAGGAGAGTTAATAAGACGAAATGCCTTTGATTCCACCCAAGGGGAGAAAGACTATCAACTAAAGGAGGAGAGTTAATAAGACGAAATGCCTTTGATTCCACCCTAGGGAAGAAAGACTATCAACTAAAGGAGGAGAGTTAATAAGACGAAATGCCTTTGATTCCACCCAAGGGGAGAAAGACTATCAACTAAAGGAGGAGAGTTAATAAGACGAAATGCCTTTGATTCCACCCAAGGGAGAAAGACTATCAACTAAAGGAGGTTAATAAGACGAAATGCCTTTGATTCCACCCAGGGAAGAAAGACTATCAACTAAAGGAGGAGAGTTAATAAGACGAAATGCCTTTGATTCCACCCAAGGGGAGAAAGACTATCAACTAAAGGAGGAGAGTTAATAAGACGAAATGCCTTTGATTCCACCCTAGGGAAGAAAGACTATCAACTAAAGGAGGAGAGTTAATAAGACGAAATGCCTTTGATTCCACCCTAGGGAAGAAAGACTATCAACTAAAGGAGGAGTTAATAAGATGAAATGCCTTTGATTCCACCCTATCTAACAGTTGGACAGAAGAGGAGCCTGTGGTCCACAATGTATCTCATATTTACTACTCACTAACAAAATTGGGTGAAGGTTTACAGTGCATTATCAATTATGAAAACTGTTGATGGAACAACATTTACAGTATGTCAGTGTATGTCAGTTATGTGTATTATATGAAAATCCAAGTTAAGATTTTCACAAAATTATTGACTAATTGTCTTTTTACAACTTTGGTCACACTGTTCTCACCTGTGTAATCTTCTTATGAAGAGAAGTGTCAGTTTATTGAGGAAATCATGCAGGTGGCGGCTCCATGGACCAGAGTTAGATGGATGGTAGTAAGACTCCAGAGATTTGAACAATCGATCCAAGTGTTCTTGTGTCTTGTTACCACCTCCCTACCATTGAAAATGTCAACATATAAATATGTAATCAATATTAAGGTAAAATTATTAAAAACAGAGTACAGTACAGTATTATGGAAAATTCAATAGTTACAGAATTCAATTTACAATAAAACCCTGATAACCCTGACTTCAATAATTCAATAAAATTGATGTTAGAACCTTGGCCAGCCTTCTGACTCGGTCCTTCACCCACCATAATCTATATTTTGTGCCAATATTTTTTCCTGTAAATATCTTTAATTATCTGATTAATTTAAGTAATCCGACATTAAAATGTGACTAGTAATGCTGTAAATCTTCAAGTGGTTGTGAAACAGCTAAAAGAAAGCATGGAACATAAAAAAAAAAAAAAAAAAAAATCACAAGTCTGAACAAGGTGCTACATAGTGATATCATGAAAGAATATTATTATTGGTGCAAGTATTGTTTATAACCAGACAAATTGATATCTTTCATTGCAAGTACCAAGTAGTTGACTCAAGTTAAAGTGGTGATAAAAGAAAAAGTATTAAAAGATGCTAAATTTAACCAGTTAGATCATGTTCTGTAAAGTTGTTCATGCTAAAGATCTGAAGGTGTTCTAGTGTCTGGTCCTAGAACAATTAAGAATTCTATGTGCAAATAGCTATACAGTGGTCCTCGGTTAACGAACACAATTCGTTCCACAGAGTCGTTCGTTAACCGAAAATTTTGTTAACCAAATCCATTATTTCAATGGGATATTGGGTAATTGGTTCCAGCTCACAGAAAAGTACATACAAAGTAAAGCCAAAAACGCATAAGTCAGAAACACTCCTAAAATTCCCCTAAATTGCCCTAAAATCACTATACAGTGGTTCCTTGGTTAACAAACGGTTCGGTTAACAAATTACCTTCCATATATTATCTTCAATTCGGTTAACAAACAAAAATTTGATTAACGAAATCCTAACGAACATCACGTTTTGTTGTGAGCATCAGCTGATGGGCTAGTCTGCTAATTCAGTAATCTGTTCTATGTTTACATTCGTTTCCAGCGGAGTAAATATCAATAAAGTTTATTTATCAGTCCTTAAGAGTGACTAAGCTTTTCTATTATACAATGCCACTGAAATGAAAGGGAAGAATATAATTTACATTGCTGGGATTCTTGTAAGATAGTGATTAATTTGAATATAAACAAGCTATAATTTGCACTAGACATAACAATTTTAGTACCATGATCATTTAGTACATGTACAGTACAGGTTTGCACTTAGGTCATTTATTTCATTTACATTTCTTTTTGTGTGGTGTGTGCATGTAAATGAATAAAAATAAATGAAGAAATTTATGTAAATCTACCCAAAAATACAGCTGAAAAACTTTACATTACTAAAATGTACTAAACTAATGTACTGAAGTTTTTATCTCTTGTGCAGAATATATGATGTATATATTCAAATTATTCACTGTCTTGCAAGGATTCCAGCAATGTAAATTATATTCTCCTAACTTTAGTCTGAGATATTATATAATATAAAAACTTATAGCCTACTGTAACCACCAAACCTTTGCTGGGAGGGAGGGGTGACAGTGACATGTTTGACAGTTAGCGCCAAAGGTCTAGTGAAGTATTTATTTGTTTATTCATGTCCTTTAGATTGAGTTTTTGTTTTTTGCTTATAAAATGTCATAGAAGTGACCGGGGAGAATATAATTTACATTACTGGAATTCTTATAAGAAAGTGATTAATTTGAATGTAATCATGCCATAGTTTGCACTGGACAAAAATTTTAGTAATGATTTTGTACATTATTTTGATTACATGTATGGTACAGCTTTGCCCTTAGGACAGTGTGTGCATGTAAATGAGTTTCAATAAATGAATAAAGTTACATATATCGAGCCAAAAATATTAGTCGAAAAACTTTGTGTGTACAGCTTGGATGGCTAAATTTTAGAATGACCAATAATTTTAATATAGAAAATGCAAAAATATTCAAGAACACAACCTTCTTGATATTTACGCCACTGGAAATGAATGTAAACATAGAACAGATTACTGTATTGGCGGACTAGCCGATCAGCTGATGCTCACAAAAAAACGTGTTTGTCTTAAGGATTTCATTAACCGAAGTTTTGTTCATTAACCGAATTGACGATCCTTATGGGAGCTAATTTGTTAACCGAAATTTCGTTAATCGAACCGTTCGTTAACCAAGGGACCACTGTACAGTACATTATTATGTTTTCTTCAAGTAATTACTAAAGGTAATAGAAGTACTCTTATAAAGGAATGACCATTTTCTCAACAATTAAAAATACTGAGTACATAATCCAAATCCCTCTTTACACCCAAGCAATTTGGATTACAGAGGTTTTACTGTACCGGTATACATAAATTTGTTAGGTCTTCACATGAAACAGTTGCAGAAGAAGGTGAAGGATGTGTCTGTACAAGTTAACAAATCTCATAAAAATATTAGTAGGGAGGAATTAGGAGGAAAATAATGAAAGTGCAGTAGTAAAATAGTGCGTCTTGATGGAAGAAATGAAAGATCCGGATGTGGGATCAGGTGGATAAGAGGAATGTACTGTTAGAAAATAATGAGTAGCACAATCATAGCAAGTGTAGAGCTTTATAAAGGCAACCCAACTGTGTCATATGGATTGGTCTCATCTGCTATAAAATAACAACAACCACACCTACCAAATTTGCAATAATGAACATTGCAGATGCAAACTGGGACAGACCATCTCCTTTACCAACATGAGCTTTCTTGTATGAAACTGGCAAACGGAATGATCGAAGCACCTGTAATATAATTTTTGTCATAATATGTCAACAATTAAAAAAAGAAAATTGTGCTTAAAACTTAAATCTTTTTTATACTATACAGTATATGAAAAGGGGGTAACATACTGCAGCATAAAGGTACTATTGCACCGATCATCAACCTTACTGCATCAATTTCTTTATGGGATGCAACACATTCAATGAACCACATTACAATTATCATCATTTTATGGTCACTTTCCATGCTTGCATGGGTTAGCCACAGTTACTAGCAATAGAGATACAGTAAGTCCTCGTATAACGTCGACCTGCTTAACGTTGTTTTGGTACTACGTCGCTAATCTTAAGATACCCAAAAAAAATTTCAAAGTCCCGATGACTCAGTACAACGCTGTTTTGCGTCATCACGGACTACTTCTTACGGTGCATCACCCGCTCTCACCTGGCAGCGCTAAGCTCCCTCAGCTTGGCACGCTATGCACCTCTCACTCACGGAACGTCACAGTGTCCCCAAGCGACGCCAAGCCAGTCTCTGTTACGACTTCACATCATTCGTGAGTGCTTAAGTGCTTTTGCTCTAAAAACTATACTCAAACCCTTCAAAATGGCTTCCAAGCACCCATCAAGTGCTACTGATGCCAGTGTTGTGAAGAAACAACGTAAGACCATTATCCTGGCTACAAAAATGGATGTATTAACCCGTTTTGAAAAAGGGGAACGTGTTGTGCTAGGTCTAACCCCCACAATGGTGCGTACTATCTGGACCAATGCTGACAAGATTAAAATTAGTACTGGAAGTGGTACTATTCTGAGTGCAATTAAAACAACTCGTACTAGAAGCACTGTGATAGAAAAAGTAGAAAAGATGCTGGCTATGTGGATGGAGGACCAGAATCAACACAATGTGCCTGTGAGCCTTATGGTTATCCAGCATAAAGCCAGATCCTTGATTGACGACACGAAGGAAACAGAGGGTGAAGGATCGAAGGAAGAGACCTTTATGGCCAGCCGAGGATGGTTTCAATGATTTAAGTGTCGTTATAACTTTCACAACATAAAGATGACTGGTGAAGCTGCCAGTTGAGATACGGTTGCTGCCGAGACTTTCCCGCCAGAATTCAAACAGATTATCCAGGAAGGAGGCTACTCATCGAAGCAAGTCTTCAATGTGGATGAGACTGGTCTCTTTTGGAAGAGGATGCCTGAGAGGACCTATATCTCTGAGGAGGAGAAAAGAGCGCCAGGTTTTAAAGCGGCAAAAGACCGCTTGACGCTGCTGCTTGGAGCGAATGCTGCCAGCGACTTCAAGCTGAAGCCGATGTTGATTTCTCGTGCTACTAACCTACGGGCCTTGAATGGTTACTCTAAGGATCACCTTCCTGTAATCTACAAGGCAAATAAGAAGGCATGGATAACCGGCGCCATATTTAGCCAGTGGTTAAATGTGTATGCCGTCCCTGCAATGAAGGAATACTGTGCCAAGGAGCACCTTGACTTCAAAATTCTTCTCATCGTTGACAATGCTCCAGCTCATCCTCCCAATCTTGACGACTTGCATGACAGTGTAAAAGTTGTATTCCTGCCTCCCAACACGACAGCACTGATGCAGCCTATGAACCAAGGGGTCATCGCCGCATTCAAGGCGTATTATTTAAGCCGTACCATGGCCCAGCTGCTCAAGGCTACAGACGGAGAAAATAACCTACGATCCGAGAATATTGGCGGGGCTTCAACATTCTCCACGCAATTGACAACATTGGCAAGGCATGGGAAGACGTTTCAGAAAGTTGCCTGAATGGTGTGTGGCATAAATTGCGGCCCGAGTGTGTCAACAGTTTTACGGGACTCACAGACTTGGTCCCAGCAGTGAATAGGGATATCCTCAGTTTGGCTAGACATGCAGGCTTTGATGAGCTGGAATCAGAGGATATTGAGGAAGTCCTGGCATCCCATACAGAAGAGCTAACTAATGAAGATATACAACTGCTAACAGAACACAGTCCCGTTGAAGACAACAACAATGAAGAAATTGCACAACGAACGCTAATTGCAAAGAGGATGGCAGATGCATCAATATGATCCAGCAAAGTATGCAAATCCTTGTAGATGGCAACCCAAACAGAGAATGTAGCTCAAAGAAGGTTCAACGCATCATTGAGGAAAGTCTTGGCTGTTACACTGAGATCTGCAAGGGTAAAAAGATGAGTAGCACCAAGCACTCAACGCTGGATTAATTTTTTCGTCCCGGGACGGAAAAAGCAGCTTCTTCACAACAGTCTGCAAGCGAGGAGGAGCAAACAGTAACGGACGAACTCAAGTCAGATCAGGAGGAGGCAGCCACAGAGACTCGGTGATTCACCACTCTCCTCCTTCGTTCCCGCCATCAGCCTCCTCAGCTTCACTACCCACCACACACTCGCTCTACCACCTCCGCCCATCGGTGAGTACCAACACAAACTTAGTAGCTGTATATGTATGCACTTTCTATTGAAATGACGATGATTTTCTGTATATGTAATGTATTTCATGGGGCAAAGGGAGGCTCAGGAACGTAACACCCATACTTTATCTATTTCTTATGAGGGAAATTGATCCGCTTAACGTTGTTTCGTATAACATCACGTTTTTAGGAAAGTAACCCCGACGTTAAGCGAGGATTTACTGTATATAGAAATAAAAAAGTAAGCTTCTGAAATACAAAGAAAGAAATGTTGTCATCCTTACATACAATGATATTGAAAGTTTATTTCGCCACAAAAATAAAAAAGAAAACAGATACAGAGTGGTTAATAATAATATTGACATGGCTGAGCCAATTGGGAGCCTAAATAATAGTGTATTCTATGGAAGGAAATTTGAAAGTGGCCAGCAAGCTAGGGTGAAGAAGGACATCTTTTAACTGTCATATACTGTGTATTAGTTGACAACATAAAAAAAATGTTCATTCCATAAATCATAATCCTGGAGGAGGAAATGAAAATTACATACTTTAGTGAACACCATTGGTAGATGTTCTTCCCATTCCACATAGCCAATGTTGTGCCAAGCCATTCGTGAGAATAACCAGAACATGCTGTTTTCCCAAAACCAGAAGTGGCTATTGTGGCAAGCATTCCAGATGCCTGAAAAATAAAATAAAATAATAAACATTTGTAAGTACAGTAAAAGCTTTGTTATATTACAGGTTAATCAATACAGGTACAGAACTAAACAATCAAGTATTGTAGCTATTCCTTGCCAATCGAACGATCTTTATTGGAATATTAGCTTATTTGAATGCTCTTACACCTTATCTCACTATCCAAAAATGTCATTTGCTTATCAGAATGTTGGTCCAAACGAAAATTCAAATAGTGTCAGGCATTGCCTGAAATCATTTTGCTCCACCATATACATAGGAACATCCTCCTGTGCTCCCATTCACTCTGTGTTTGTTGTAAGTGAAGTGCTCTCCCTTTATCTCTGTATTCATATAATTCATCTGTGAATCTGTCTGTAATGGCATCCAAGTACTGTATAATGGTAATTTTTATGATAACCTCACCATTGCCAAGAGATCCCATGAGCCTGTGATGCTTAAAGCCAATGGATGAGTTGACGGTTCTGGGCAAACACAAGAAATACACACTGCCAAGTTCATGGAGTGATACGGCATATATACAAGAGTAATTTGTAATAAAAGTTTAAAGTCCTGCTATAATAGTTGAGATAACTTTATTTCTCTAGAAACAGGACCGCCATTTGCACTGAAGTCATTAATTTCAAACACCGCTGGGCTGCAGTCGTAGGTAGTGGAAAGGATGGCCTCTTCAGACCCCATATGCCACGTTCAGGTAAGTTTAAGGGTGGGTTTTTTTTATGGTCTAAGTCATGGACATTTCGTAAGTGAAGAAATGTGCCACAAAGAGCAGCTTCAAACATAGGGTGGATGGATATATGAGCAATAGGGGTTGGGTGTAAATGAGACTGCCCAGTATTGCCCGCTGCAGTTTCCTACATTCTTATGTTCTTTTGGACATAATAAACTCCCATGTTCACACCAGCTCAGCTGTCATGTACTCTTACCTGGTAGACTTTCTCTTTTTATTTCGGTGCATTTACAGAGTATATCAGTACTAGATGGAGATACGAGTAAACTTAGAAGTACTAATGACATTGTCTGGACTTTTGTTTTGATAATGCCTAATGCTAGCTAAACATGACAACATAGTGCTGTTATTGTTTTGACGATTCACTAATGAACCACTGGGATATATCATCATTTATATTAATTAATGGGTAAAATTTTACTACAACTACCATAAGTAGTTTGATGTTTAGATTCCAGATAGGCTATACTGGGTAAATTTTAAGTTTTAGTCATCCCTGTACTTAGACATGTAGACTATGTTTTTTCTGATGGTTTGCGATGTGTTATAAACGATTTAGACCTTCATTTCTATCGGAAATCACTAGTTTTGAGTTACTACCCCCCTTACCAATGTAAGTTAAGCTAACCTTATAACTCCTCATACCCTAACCTAACCAAACCTATGATCTGTGTTTTCTTATGCGATCGAAAAATGTTTTACGATAGAAATCCTGTAGAGATAATTTGTCTTATTGTTTAAAGTACTTAATCCCATAGTTAGAATCCTAAAGTTCCCTGGATCACTAAAACCAAAATAATATAAATATTGTTTGGAATGTTTATACTATGAAATTTGTTGTATGTGCTCAATAATATTTATATATTCAAAATAGTATTAATTTGTTGCACAATAAAGCACAATTAATTATCTAATAATATTTATTTACTTAGCCAATCAGCTGAGAAGGTTGGACAACTACAGCTGACTGCCTCCCGCTGGGAAGTTCACCCTGACCAGTGACGTCACAACCAATCACAGAGTTTTCACAGTCACATGACTTTTTAGCAACTTTAACCCTTATTTTTTATATTTTTTGGCTCAATTTATTTAAAAACATCATTACCATAGTGAATTCAAGTGTTTTCTTTACCCATTGACCTGCCATCTTACGAAAAAATTCCCACCGTCAACTCGTCCATTTTGAAATAATCAAGCATCATGACCGGGAGAGGGACATTGTACTAACTGTATATATGTATGTATTTTATTAAGTTTATTATGACCGGGAGGGGGACAATGTACTAACTGTATATATGTATGTATTTTATTAAGTTTATTATGACCAGGAGGGGGACATTGTACTAACTGTATATATGTATGTATTTTATTAAGTTTATTATGACCAGGAGGGGGACATTGTACTAACTGTATATATGTATGTATTTTATTAAGTTTATTATGACCAGGAGGGGGACATTGTACTAACTGTATATATGTATGTATTTTATTAAGTTTATTATGACCAGGAGGGGGACATTGTACTAACTGTATATATGTATGTATTTTATTAAGTTTATTATGACCAGGAGGGGGACATTGTACTAACTGTATATATGTATGTATTTTATTAAGTTTATTATGACCAGGAGGGGGACATTGTACTAACTGTATATATGTATGTATTTTATTAAGTTTATTATGACCAGGAGGGGGACATTGTACTAACTGTATATATGTATGTATTTTATTAAGTTTATTATGACCAGGAGGGGGACATTGTACTAACTGTATATATGTATGTATTTTATTAAGTTTATTATGACCAGGAGGGGGACATTGTACTAACTGTATATATGTATGTATTTTATTAAGTTTATTATGACCGGGAGGGGGACATTGTACTAACTGTATATATGTATGTATTTTATTAAGTTTATTATGACCAGGAGGGGGACATTGTACTAACTGTATATATGTATGTATTTTATTAAGTTTATTATGACCAGGAGGGGGACATTGTACTAACTGTATATATGTATGTATTTTATTAAGTTTATTATGACCGGGAGGGGGACATTGTACTAACTGTATATATGTATGTATTTTATTAAGTTTATTATGACCAGGAGGGGGACATTGTACTAACTGTATATATGTATGTATTTTATTAAGTTTATTATGACCGGGAGGGGGACATTGTACTAACTGTATATATGTATGTATTTTATTAAGTTTATTATTTTTTCTAAGATGTATCACCTTCAATAATGTTTTGGTAATTGTGTAAAGCACAAATATAAACCAAAACACAGTAAGATTAGTTGCAAAATAAAAAAAATATATATTGTTTTTACTGTCTGATGATCACTGAGCCCTGTTTTCTTATAAAGTATATCATATTATTCACTATCCAAATAATCAATAACCAAAGGGCTTTAAAAGAACTTAATCCATTCAGACAGTGAGGGATTCCTGTACTCTTGTTTTTTGAAGTTTTATATTATAATACATGTAATACAAATATGCAATTTAACAAGGGTAATCAGTTAATGTACATCATCACATAAAAATACATTTAACAATACACTTGAAAGCTTAAACTATACAGTACTGTGCTGTGAACACACACAGATTGGACATATTTTTTTTTTACTATACTAAAGTGAGCTGGAAAGTAAAAAGAGCTGGTTAGTAAACACAGCATTAGCCAATAAAAATATTTGCCATTAATGAAAATTATAAACGAAGCAGACTAAAGCATGTACAGTACAGTAGTCACTGAAGCACAGGGTGTTGAAAGTGTAAGGTTGTCTCGGGGAAGTGGTAATGTATTGACCATCAACTGGATCCCCATCTGTTTACTGTTGGGAGTGAATATCAAGCCAAATGTTTCTCATTTCACTATAGCAGTATAGTAATGCTCAAGTTTCTATGTAAATTCAAAATACTTGGATTTCAAAGTTTACATACTGGAATTAAGAAATCTTTGTGAAAATATAGCTAAAAGATTTCCAAATTAATCACTGTTTGATGGCAGGGGAGGCAGAGAAGTGGGTCTGGGTGGCTGGCTTAATCAGTTTGGGAGGTGAGACAGGTCAACTAGTTCAAGGGACATAATAAGCTGAGGCAGTCCAGTGACTTCTGCAGGTTTTCAATTTCTCTTCCTGCTCTCTTTTGATGTATTTTCTCCTTCACCCTCACTTGAAATACCATTGTTGTTCACTTTTCTAGCTGACCTTGATATTTGCCGAGGGCCAAAATTCCACAAATCTTTTTGATTTTGAAAAAAAAAAGGAGATTGTGGTCCAGGGCCAGCCAATATGCTAAGCAAATGGGAGGCCGAACGTGTCTAGACATTGGGAATATTGCACTGGTTTGCAAGGAAATGGCTGAGATTTGTACAACTTAGATGGAAGGCACATAGATCTTTTAAGATCTCAAACACACAACACACTCATGTGCTGCTGGTATTGGCTATGTTAAAGCCATAGATTATCAGTGTGTCACCAGCATTTTAGGGATAAGGGAGAACTTGTTGAAAAGTTATCACACTACTGATTAAAATCATCTGAGAAGTGACTGCTGGTAAGAGAGGAGAGAGAAAAAAAAATCCTGTAGTACAGTACTTGATTTAAAATTAAGAATCATTAACATAACACTACATATCAATTTACACTGTGTACATGAATTATATGCAGCAGCTTTCAAAGCAGGTCAAAGAACCAAAAGTTAATTACAGGGTACATGAATTATTCATTCTACTAAATTTGTTTATACCAATGAAATTTGGTAAAGGTCTATTTTTTTTTCATTCCTGTAAGCCTGTCTCCACTATGGTGCATGATGGGTGGAATTAAAGGCAACTCTTCGTTCATTCACTAACATTCGGTGTCTCTAATGACTGTAAAATTTGTGTTCTGCAATAGTGATCCTCTTATCACAACATGGCCCCAAGTTCCCTATCTGGTTTACTCATTATCCATAACAACCCACATTAAATGCTGGAATATATAAGAAAAGTATTTATTTACCTTTGGGATATCAAGACTTAAGCAATAACATCAATGGGTCACACATGCCCTGACCAAATATAACGATTACTCTAATATTCCTTGGATTGGCGACATGCACAACTCTAAACAAGAATCCGTAATTGTGCACATTCATGTCTGATTCAAAGCCAAACCATTGAGTCGGTGGAAAGTTGTGAAGAAATAAATTTGTCTTCGACGGATGGGGGGGCTCACAGCATCACTGCTACATATCCCTGACCTTTCAGTTCACAGATATTGTCTGAAAATGTGAACACACTCTACATTAAACAAAATATACATTTCTCACCCAGTAACTCATCCTTCCACAGTTTCCAGCTATTATCTGCTTTTTCTGGAGGGAGGGAAGTGGGTAGAAACAGCTCTAGATACACCATGGCTCGCTGCATTGTCATGTCAAATGGACACATCATTGGTCGCACTTCCTCTAAGATTTCAGATGTGGAACTAAGTGGAAAATAAGGTCGACACACCCGTATCATACTCTCCACAACTCCCTCAGCATTTCTGAAAAATTCATAAAAAATAACAAGGAGACTTTAGGTCAAAATATATTCTAAAACTATTATGGGGTAATGCATGTGAAGTATAGTCACCATCATACACAGGAAGATACACACATAACCAAGATGTTAGCCAAAATAAATCCCAAGAAAACTCTTTAGCACTACAGTATAGTTAATTATATCAATGTTTCAGTCAAAACAAGATATTCAAGTTCAGATATACATTGCTACTCATTGAAAAATCTAAAGAAATAGCCATTGATATATATGTTTATGTTATTTAAATTCTTCCAATAGGAAATGGAACAATTACTTCATGAAATTTTCTTGCCATTCTGATGCTTGATTTTTTCCCATTCACTATTGGTTCTCAACATAATTCCAACTCATCCTGTAATCTTAATGCAGTACTGTTTTCTCATTCCCAACCATGTTAAATGAAACAAACACTATAAAAGTACAGTAAAAAATTGTTGAAGACTAAAGCTTTACCCTTAAATGCAATCAGTTTCTACATCCTCATCCAGCACTTTACTATATCAATTGTAACTTACCACTATTATTTGATCAAGCTTGTTTTATGAGCCTCATCAGATAATAAGTTACAATCTACTCAGAGTAACTATGATAACATCCACTGTGTAACACCCTACCCCATATTCATCCATTCTTATGATATACTGCACAGGTACAGTACACTGTTTGATGTAGAAAACCTGTTTAACATTATACTGACCAAACACTCACATTCATCTCAAAGAATTCTTGTCAATGTACTACTTATCACTTTGAAAGACGTGCAGTACTTGTTAAAGATGGTTGCTAGTCAAACATTACTTCATCACTACAGTATGTCCAAGGTTTTCAGCATACAGTAGTCATGAGGAATTTAATCAGTGACAGAGCACCTAACTCCATTTTCACACCTTGGGTCACATTTTTCGATATGCGTGAATATAAAGAATTTAGTCATTAAAGTCCAGCACCTAAAATTTATCAAATGTGACATGAATAAAACTTACTGCACTAAAATTCACAAGTGAAGTCCAACACAACTACAGTACTGTATCTTGTTTTAACATTCATACACAAACTACTTCCCTCATTCACACTTCAACACAGTATTCCATGGACAACTATTACACGAGTGTTAGGTGTTTCATCTACAGTATAGTCTGGATTTATGCGGTTTTTGTTTACGCGTTTGGTCATTTACGCGGTGCCTTGCCAGAATGAAATGTTTTAATTACGTGGTAAATTTCATCATTTACGTGGCGAGCGGCTGGAGAGGTCCAGACCGCCGCGCCATTCTTGACCATACGTGGGAAGCGGCGCGGTGAGGGGTGCGCATTAGGCCGCTCTTACGTTATCGCTGATGTCATATGACGTTTCGGACTGTGATTGGGCCACGCATCCTTACCACCCACGCATTACCTCCGCCACTAGCTGTGATTGGTCTAATGTAACATGACGTGCCCTGCCACCAGAGGGTAGAAGTCGCTGACCTAGCCAGGCCTGTCTCATTGTTCTCAGTCCGCTTATTCAGTTCTCTCTTGTGCCCGCTATTCCCCTCACAATGGCTTCCGCTGGACCCCCCACCACCCCAGAAAAATCTTGAATTACCTGGACCAAGCCATGATTGTGTGAAGGAAATCATCGAGTTGGGAGAGAAAATTAAGCTCATCCTTGACAACGACCCAGACAAGCATCGGTACGAAGAGTCTAATAACCATCTGACGAAAGTTATGGAGCTGTATATCCAGATCTATCTCGACAACATCAATGCTAGTCGCCAACGTAGTATTAAGGACTTCTTCAGCCAGCCCAAGTCAGTGATAGTGATAAGGACAGTGAGGATATGGACTTTGAGGGGTTTGTCTGGGAGGCCCTGCAAACCTCAGCGAGTAGTTTAAGTGATTCACCGGAGGGCAACTAATCTGCCCTCTGCCTCGGAACCAGCCGCCATCCACGTGTGCCGACCCTCTTTTCTACTAACGTAAGTGTTAAAAAACCTAATATTATTGATATTTCTCTTAAATATTAATTGTGTGTGCATACCATCATAAAATTAAGATGTTATTTTTACTACAAGGTACGTATTGTGTCGGAAAAAGTGGAGTTTGGGGGTCGGTCCAGTCTCTATTTCAATTAATCCCATATGTTCTGTTATTTCGTTTACACGTTTCTCGTTTTACGCAGACCTCCATGGGTTCAATTGACCACGTAAATGCAGACTATACTGTATATCCTTGAATACCCTGTAGAGCCACAAGATAATTCTGTGATTATTAAAGTTCTCTTAAATATTAATGTTTTCTTCCGTACCAGTAACTCTATGCATTGAGAGACAGCCATTGTAAATTTACCTAGGTGAAAACAGCATTTGGAAAGAAAAAAAATGTCTAACTGGAAACAAAACTGTAAAATTAATATAATCTTTCATATGTGGCCAGAACAATTTATGTAATATTAGAAATCAATAACTTTTCCAAAAACTTTTCCAAGTTGCTGACAGATCATTTATAAAGTACATATGTATACCGAATGACTTAAATAATGTTAGATATAATTTAACACACATTAGCAATACAACAACTTGATTACAAATTTTACCACTCAAATGAGCTCCATGAAACTACAGAAGAGACAACTTCTTTGACACAATGAAGTTTATTTATTTCTTTAACAGAAAAATGGCCATAATATGACTTTGTGCAAGACCTTCACACTCATATGAAGCATGCAAAACTACATTAATATTGTGCTGTGTGCTACATGATGCTTATATAGTCCTTAATTAAAAAACCAACACCAGTAAATTGTTGTCTGTCACACACCCAAAACCGTGTCCCTGTTGGACTTCATTTAGTGCAAACTTAAAAACAGAATACTGCATAACAAAATTATTACATGTGACGATACTGTGACAGTACTAAAATCTCCCTCTGACTATTGGAGAGCAAATAATTTTGCTTATTTTAAGAAATTCTGATAAATGACTCATGGTTGTTGGGAGTGGATCAAACAGACCAGGTGACAAGATCAGGAATTTCGACCTTTGAAAATTATGCCTTTACAAGAGATGCTCAGTACAGAATTAAAAAATTCCAAATGCGATTCACAAAATTGTATAAATGTAAAAGTTTCAAAACTTAGAACAACTTTAGATCTTACATTCACTGATCACTTCACACTACAATTATAAGAGGCCTCCAAAATGTTGAGGAGAATGGCAATTTAAAAAGGAACAAGAGGGCAACTGATAGCAAGAAGAATGAGACGGCTCCGTGTAACTTACGATGTATCTCCCTTCTTACGGCTAAACAAACGACTGGCAGCCCTCCTGGTCCGCCTGAAAGGAGTCATGACGGTGGGGTCGTAAGAGAGGAGTGAGGCTCACAATCAATCATGTGATTTAGATTTATTTTATTTAGACAAATAAAATATTATGTGAAGAATACAATTTTGGTGAAACACGATATAACAGCTTAACAAGATTTGGAATGGAAAGTCATACTACATCCCATACTCAGTATATATAAACAATATAAAAAATCTTAACACTATTCACTGTCATGAACTGCTTATTAAGCAAGCCATTACTGTTGACAAATTAAATGTCTGTTGTCACTTAAAATGTCAAGTTCATTAACAACCATCAATGAAATTGCCATGACTGACAAGCTTCACAAAAATATACAGAATATATAAAAATCACATAACTACTGAATTTTTCTTTTAATTTTCAGCAACATGAACACCAATAACAAATCATATACAGTACAGTACGGCACAAGAGAGAAATTATACAGTGGCTACTTCACATATGAACATAACATACATATACACAAAAACAAAATTACAAAATATGAACACATACTTGGGGATAATATTCACAGAAAATTTCAAAATAACAGACTTCAACAAATTTTTGAGAATTGGTCAATTATCAGACAATAATGGCTTGAGAAGGTTTTAAGAGCCAGTCTGATACAAACCTAACTGTATCTTGAAGGGAGAAATACAGATTTAAGTACAGCAATCTAACACCAGCCCTTTTCTTAAGAACTGATATAACAAGTAATGAAGCAACCAGACTCATTAATGTAACAGATAAATCCTGTACTGTACAAACAAGAAAATATGAAGCACACCTTACTAGAAAATACTCCTTCTACCCAATGCTTGTAAAATTACCACTACATTAACCTAAAAGACACTAATGACATTATTCAAGTGTGTTACATCCCAGCAAGTGAAATATTAAACAACTTCGCTATTTATGCACACAGCAACTACTATCCTACCACTGAGAAATCTTAGTATGTTCAGAAAATGTTATGATGACAGAGCTTTAAGTCCTCTGCTTCTGTGAAACTCCTGCTAAAAGCCATCTCTTTACTAACATGCCATTTGTCCATTATGTCAAAGAGTTTTAGTCTCATGCAGTACTTCAGCACAATCCACGCACACCATATCTTGTTGATATACAGCAATATGATTTTGAAATTTAAGTACAAAAAGACCCTCTCTGCTATACAAAGGAATAAGGTAAAAGGCCAAATTTCTTAGAACTGTAAATGGCTATGTTTCACTGACTTCTACAGAGAATTGTGGGTTACTGATAAAGGAACAGGAACAAATATACTACACTACAGTATTTAAATACAAATGTGATTTTTTTTTATGTCACTCTCCTAATGGATGTCAAATTCAAACAATTCAGTACCATACTTCATTTCTCTTTGTACTCATCATATAGAAAATCTTTTAATACAATTTACTAAAAGTATTTACCATAGCCTAGTATTAATGCTCATTACAATTTAATTGGAGCCAGAGCAGTTTTGAAATTGTTCACCAGGAGGTTACTAATTTTCATGTCTGAAATCCATCAATTTCATGTTTTGGAAAATACTGAATTGTGATATTTCTACGACTTCATTTTTCTTTTGAAAACTACATTCTTTGAAAACACGTAAATTGTCTACTATATTCCAAATGTCAATACACACTGTACTGTAAATCAATCTACTGCTGGGGTTATTAAATAAGAGCTGAAATCACTTGTATCAGAACTTCCCAAATTAGCCATACAACCTTGTTTTAGTTACACTTAATGATATACTGTAACTCACTTCTTATCATATTTTCCCAAATGTTTGGGCCCACATGTCACACAAAGCAATGTCTGATACTTTAATTCTCTCATCTGAGATCTTGATGTATCAGGTGCAGCAGCTGTGACACAAGGACTGATGGTTGAACCAAGTCATATACTTATACAGTATCACTCTGCAGTGTGGTCTCGGACAAAACCTCATTGTTAAGAAAGTAAATATTTCAAGGCACCCAATTCCCTTTTCTCTTGAGATTTTTATCTACAATAGTCGAGAGTATTGGGAGAACTTAACAAAGTAAGAATAGAGAAAACTAAACAAAGCAAGAATAGAGACCATAACAAAGCAAGAATAGAAAAAACTTAAAAGAGAAAGATTTGAGAATTTAAGAAAGCAAGATTAAAAAGAACTTAACAAAGAAAGAATAGAGAACTTAACAAAGTAAGAATAGAGAGAACTTAACAAAGAAAGAATAGAGAACTTAACAAAGTAAGAATAGAGAGAACTTAACAAAGAAAGAATAGAGAACTTAACAAAGTAAGAATAGAGAAAACTTAAAGAAAGAATAGAGAACTTAACAATGTAAGAATAGAGAGAACTTAACAAAGCAAGAATAGAGAAATTAACAAAGAAAGAATTGAGAATTTAGAAATTAACAAAGAAAGAATTGAGAATTTAGAAATTAACAAAGGAAAAATAGAGAACTTAACAAAGTAAGAATAGAGAACTTAACAAAGCAAGAATAGAGAGAACTTAACAAAGAAAGATTTGAGAATTTAAAATTTAACAAAGGAAGAATACAGGGTAGAGAAATTAACAAAGAAAGAATAGATAACTAAAGCAAGAATAGAGAACTTAACAATGCAAGAATAGAGAACTTAAAGAAAGAATAGAGAATTTAGAATTTAACAATGGAAGGATGGAGAAATTAACAAAGAAAGAATAAACAAAGAACTTGTGATATAAGTTTATAAGGTACTTTCAGAACACCAGTAGACTCATGACTGAATATTTTTTCATATACAGTACAGTACTTTACTTTTTTCATTAATATGTTTAAATGTACAGTATAGAAAGCACCTATTTCCTATGTCTTTTCAATTTTAACAGTGTTACTTAATACAAGACTGTTTTCTTATGAATACCTACCACCTTGAACATCACCAGCAAACAGTCTGGGTTAATAGCATTTTTTTTTTTTTTTTTATTCTGTGTGGAGAAAATTATATCAACCAACAAGTTCCCAAATGAAATGGATATCAAACAGTTGCTTAGGACATCATCTAAAAGTGCATTTATTAGAACTTACCCTTAGGGATATTAGTACCATGTTTATCAAATAAAATAGAGTGTTAATGACTTCACAATGACATAGAACAATCACCACAGTTCCAAGAAATCTTAATACTGTACACATTTATAATTAATGGATTTTTTTATCCTGGCAAACCTACATACTGTACACCTACTTTTGCATCTGTGATACTGTTCTGTACATTTATCAATCTATGCAGAAACACTGTACAATATATCAAATTGTTGCAGGTATACACAGTAACTGCTGCTTTCTCTTAAAAATTGATCTGCATGCTTCTACACACTGAATCTTATTTATGAAATTTAACTTCAATTTGTGGTATTCTAGTAAAAGAGAAGAGAGTGAGTTATAGAACCATTTTAGAGCTAAAGAAGATGAAGAGTTGAACCATGAAAGAAATTGTTTAATGGTTCAAAGGCTGGTGCCCATAAACACCAACAAATAAGGTTAACAGCTGATGTGTTGATAACCAAACAAACATCTGGTATGAACCATTTGCATGTGTTAGTGAATATATGACAGAAAAGTAAAGTTTTTGAGAATAAGCATAACGTTGGACACATCCTTAACCATAATCAATAAGTCACACCAAAATTTGAGTCTCATTCTCTGAGTGGAGGATCCAGGGTGAACCATTCAGACAATATATATTTTTTTTGTACTACCTAGAAAAAACAAAAACAAAAATTCTATCAACATCTATTGACAGGTAATATGCGTGTCTTCAAAAAATAAAATTTTCTATCAAAAATATTATTCTGCTGCCTAATTTCCTCCATACATGGACTTGGTCTGTACTAAACTAATCAGGATGGTAATATTCACCTTACCTCACTGAGATATTTTACCATGCTAGGACTTATTCATAGTAATTGCAATGAATGAAACAAGAAGGAAAAACACAATATTCTATACCCCTAAGTTATTTTTTTTAGAGCAACGTTTCAGTTCATGTGTTGCTAGTGATTTTATTGGGATATGCCTTTCAATGTTTCAAGGCATAATAATTTATTTTCCTTTATAATTTATAACACATGTGGGGTTATCCTTGGTGACAAGTGTGTATACCGGTAATTGCTATGCATGTACCAGTACATTACTTGGTTAAATAAAACTTCCAATACATAAGAACATACATCTTACTAGAGAGCATACTGTGTAACATGTAGAATCTTTTCATATGAATTCAAATGAATTGCTGTCTCCCAATATAATCAAATATCACAAGCAAAACCTTAAGATGTCAAGTCATCATGCTCCATCGTATACACACCTAAATCAAGGTCTCTAAGAGCAACACAAATAGTTTCCTGTGACTCAACATACATTGGTTCTCTCTCTTATTTTTCTTTCCATTTATTCTTCTTCTAACATTATCAGTCAATCACTCCTGGAAAAACTCAGTTCAAATATTGTAATCCAATTACCATATCTGGTTTCTTCAGTCAATAATATCAACTCACATGTGTATGAGAGACACTTTGTTAACTGAAAAACAAAAGTCAATACAAAATGTCTTTATATTATTGCCAACACCTGATTCTTTAAATCAGCAACAGTACTATCACTATAGTACTGTATAGCAAAATTAATAAGCAAAACTAGTATTTCTTTACTATGTACTGTATTAATCATGAAGGATGGCAAACCTATTCTTTTTCATGTCCAGAAGGCACGTGAATTTTTGACGGGAAAACATTATTTCATATGCCCTTAAAAACTACTATGTTGACAGCTCCAACAGTTCTTAAGTTGCTGGGATCATACTACTGCCAGAAGGATTCTGGCCAGGATACTCTTGGCCAATATTGTTATGTCACTGACATAGATGTGCAATAAGTAAAAGTTTGAATTCAATAACATTAAAGAGGACATGGTGTTTAACTTTTGAACTGCTTGTGCCTTGGATATTGG